GAGTTAATATCGATAATCGGCAATTACAAGACTTTCCTTTTGCCGATGACATTATCAGCAAGCATTTGGAAACCCGAACAAATGCTTGCCAACTCTGCTAAAGCCTGTGGAATCGTTGGCCTTCGCCTAAATCTCACAATACCGATGTTCATGAGGATCGGATTGGTTTCATATGCTCCATTTGCGCTCAGCAGAATGAATGCCTCCGAATGCTACAGTCTGTCTGTTGTCTGTCTAATTTGGGAAGTTAACATGATGAACAATTTGTTCCAGGACTTCAGCATGAGGAAACGAGCGCTTGAGGAGCTTTCAATAGCATCGAGGATGTAGTGATGAGATCAAAAAACACCAGGCTCCGTCCCCACCCTTCGGACTCCACGATTCTTCCTGCTTTAACGTATGCGTCAGAAACCTAGTCGCTATGTAAGCAGGGTGAAAGATCAAGCAACGTTATTGAACGCGCAGTAGAAGGGACGATGTTTGGAGTCTCCCATATCAGGCAAGAATCAGAGACGCCGTCCTCTATGCCATACTGTCGAAAATAAGGTGGGCCCGCCTATGAATGACAACCGATGGATAAGAGCCGGTGAATAGATTCCTTGGGATGTCAAACGTGGGATGTAGGAAAGCCACCAACCCGACAATTAGAGTTCTTCACGAAAATCCGAGAAGAAAGATATGATGCTCAACGAGCCCTTAGAGCGAGCAGATCCCACTGGTCTACTATTGCACGCGACGGGGAGAAATGGAAGATTTACCGGCGGTGCTCGAGTCAGTTGACGATCAGCCTGACGAAAAATGATACATTTGAGGCGATGGTATTTGCGATTCCTCAGAATTCGATCGACGCCAAGCACTTTGTCCTTTATCGTTTCAGCTTTTTATGACTATGAGAGCTCTTCACGTTATAGTGTTCGCGACAGACTAGTTAAATAATAGTCATTATGAAGCCATTTGTAAAGGTAGGTACGTACATAATATAGATGATGAATAGAAAGCTTCAGACAGCGCTTTCAGGTTCCTGAAGAAGATGACCAATGACCGTGTGGATCGAAATTTGGAATTTATTTGCTACGCCATGGAGCAGATGAATGACGTTGTAATCAGGGCTAAACAGCGGCTACAACAATGCCAGCAAATTGTTAGGTTTATACTTCTTTTCTAAATCCTGGTGTAACCATTCCTTGTAGCTTTGACATGGATACTGTATTAATATCAATCGTTTTTATTGAGAAAGACAAAGCAGGGGCGTCGGTTGGTTCGAAGCCCAACTGCGATTCCTAGTTTTGCTCGTGTGTCGTAATCCTTGTGGTTGTATTCAACATCATATCCTGCCATACAAAAGGGATAAGTGGTAGATGGAAATTAAAAAGTTGTTGATCCTTTACTACTTCTAGTTTCTTTGTTGTCGTTGCACCTGTTTTCTTCTGTGCTTAGTTTTTTGTTAAACTTGAATATTGTAAAACCCTATAACCTCTATTATTTGTCGTCGCTTTGACCGTCAAGTGGTTCGGTTGGACGCTAGTAAATTTTTTGACAAGTTTTTTTGGCATGTACACTATGGCCATTCTAGGTGCACGTGCACGGAGCATCATATTTTTCCTCCAGCACCTTCATAAAGAAAAATAAGAGAGATATCCTCAAATCCCTTACTATACCACATATTTTCGTAATCCACTCATGAAAACGAGGAAACGTGATGAGCGTATCCTAGGCCCAGCGTCGATTCAATTTCCGAATTACGCTGTCATCGTTTAGCCCTTCGATAAACGTGCATCTTACGTGTTGTCGGTGGTACGGACTGCACACTATACAGTGGCTTAGGGTGGCCTACCGATGTATCATATCACTGTTACGATTTGTCTTTCTACACAAGAATGGTACCAATTTGCCAAACTGAGAAAAATAGGCTTAGTGAGCACGGGCTCGTGGTAGAACCAAAGATCAAGTGTGTAATGAAGAGCACCTTTAACCAGTGCACTGTTCGCGCTCTTTGTTTGACGTTTTTTTTCATTCGAATGATGCGTCATTATATACGGTTGCAAAGCGTATTTTATGCAATTTCGCTAAGTGTAGCAGAATTTTAGTATAATTTGTATTCTTGACAGGTTTTAAAGGTTAGAATTTTAGTTGTCAAAGCAATTTCGACACATCTACGTCTACGAATCCAAACGTGGACGCGGTGTAATCAAACGTCTCGAAACCTTAGTGATATGTGGTAATAAGGAAGTTTTAATGAATCATCAGTTCAATTTTAGGTCAAAGTATATCACCGGGGCGGAGGAGCAAATACATCCAAAAGTATTCGAGAGCTTGCAGTAGAACCCGCTGTAAGCATACCAATTGTGTGAACAGCTGAAATAGATTTGAAAGTCGAAAAAGGTCGTGAAATGAGTGGCGTAAGAATTGAGAGCAGGTTATACTATACACGTTGCACTAGCGGCGCTGCAGAGGTTGAGAGAGCTAGGCTACGAAACTCTATCTTATGCACCATACCGGTCAGAGATCTCGGTTACTGGACATCACTACTTCAAGCATATAGAGAGCTTCCTGTGCGAGCAATACTTCAAAACCAAGCCGAGGGCGAAACCGCATTCAAGAAACTTCATCGCTTCCAAAAGTCCAAAATTTTATGCAACCGCTACAGATAAACATTCATTAAATAAACATAAACATTGCTTTATTCCGTGGAAAAAAAAACGCCTACTGTCCTACGTGCATCGTTCATCGTTGATTTGGCATGTTTATTTGGACTAAAGTACCACTGTTTGTATTGGTGCAACACATTGCCCGTTAGAAGGCACTACAAATTCTATTACGAATGATCGCTATGGAACGTCGGCTCTGCACAGGCACCATCGCGACCTACTTCATCAAAGACCACATGCTGCATAGGAATACCAAAAATCCAACTATAAGAAATAGCTACAAATCCATTCATACTCTGCGATTAGATTCTGCCCATCTGTTGCGAAAAAGGGAGCACACAGCGTAGTGGTTAAAGATCTTTGTCAGGTATACGCGCTGTCGTTATTTCGATCTCACAAACCAGGCCCATCAAGCCCCCGATCCCTCCGGGGTCGACAAATTGGCGCTAGACTTGTCTTGTACGATACAAAGCAGCATTGACTCAATATATCAATAAGCCAGTCATTGTACAAGTTAGATTCAATCATCTCTAACGGTTCTCGGTGAAGTTGAATGTATGGCGGATCCGTCATGAATTGACTAATGCTGAACGCCCCTCATCCCTTACGCTTCGTGCTGCATTTACCTGATCTCTTACTTAATTTTGATCACAAGAAACACTAAATTTCACTCTTTACTTATTGTGAAGAGTCCCTTAAAGAAAGTTGATCCGGATAAGAATTCGATAATTCCACTGAATCAACACATTCCTGACATGTGTTGCTTGAGAATGTTCATTATTTCTCAAGAAATTAATGTGAACAGTTGAGAGCTTGACAGGGTTTATGGAGAATGTTTTACTCTGTCGTTCTAAGGTATGGAAGAGCTTATAGGATCCTAATAAAGCTTTATCGCAATTTTACATCTACTAGTTACAATGCACCTTATTTCATCGATAAGCTAACACGAAGCTGTTACCACATACTTATTTGGCTAACGTCTCGAGGTCTTCGTCTTGCTCTGAGCCGATGATCTGAGTCAGTGGTCCACAGTCCTTGGTTTTCTCGATGTGATGTCTTCATCATTGTATCGTAGATCGTATCCAGTCGGATCTTCTTCAATGGAGTTCTTTCTTCAATTCTTCTTTTCAATGATATGACGATAACGAAATCAACACATCGAGAACATGAACGACTGGCAACTATAGACGCGTTTCAACGCCTCTGAAGACGTCTAAATGTTAGCCAAATAAATATGCGATAACAACCTCGTGTTTAACAATGGTACACTTATCACTTATACAGAAATTAAATGAAAGTCGGTCTACAAGGACAGTACTCACTTCAGTTCAAACTTTCAAAAGATTCGAGAGCGAAATCAGATTTCTAAATTTTCTAATGGAAGCGCCAAAAGCGTCCATTATAAAGCGTTTACGGGGACACCGTCATGGCCTATGTGCCAAAACTACGGCTGTAAATGTGGTTCGTGCTACTAGGTTTCAGAAAATGAGAATTTCATCACGGCAAAGTAAGGATGTTGCACCATATTTGTAAAGATCCATAAATTCTAACGATTCCCATGCCAAATGATAATGTTGACCATGAGCTGAGCTGTTACCTGAAAGTTTAAAGGCAGAACTAATTTCGGTAACATATGACTCGGGTGGTAGTGAATGTGTTAGAAAGTAAATTAAAGCGAATTTTATTTTCTTGTGCGCCAAGGTTTAACTGCACCATAAGTGTCTACGTCATGTCTAAGAAGCGCTAGCAAACGTATGGTACACGAGAATCTTTAAATTATTATGTATGGAAACGATGTGAGCAAAAATGGAATGACTACCAATATTGACAATGAAAGAATACAATAGGACAATAGGTGGACAGAGAAACATGGGAAGAAATGCCAGAGCAGATCAGAAAGTGACTACGTTTTCAAAAATATCCAATCTGAACCTCTCGTCACAATGTTAAGACCCATTTTACTCAATACCCAATATATCGAAACATATTTACACAAAGAGAAAACCGTACTAAATTAATAAGACATGCGTCATCACCTTTTTCCAAGTGTTCAATTCGCAACAATGAAATTAAAGTTTGAGCAAATTTCTTCCTGAAGACCAGGATACGCAAAACAGCATTGCATGAGCAGTGTAAATGACGAAGTCACAACAGTTCAGAATGGTCTTTTAACTAACTCAAGTTCACCGTAGTTAAGCGTAAGCCATGAGGTGAGTTCGCAACTCAGCTGAAATACACATCTCAACCGCTGAATTTGCTGCCGGACCTCGCTGTAGAATAGCCCGAGCAAGATAATCTATAAAGAGGTGGGTAAGCCTATGTATCACGAACAAAAACCATGGGATTATGGAACTAACTTTTATAGTCCTTGATTTCTGGAGCTAAAGGATCAGGACGTGGGGCGTAGCTAAGACGGCAATACGGATTGACAAATTCGCCTTCAGAGTTGTACATGGATGCCTTAACCCAAATGACAATGTTATAGTACGGAATTTATAGTGTGTAAAAACTCATCACACGCATGTTCTACTGAAAAACTGTGCACCGTATACCTGTTCTTCTTCTGGAGAAAGGATCTGGCGATCGCTTATTGATGGAGCTTCGACCAGATGAGTAGCCCCAGCAGCCAAGACGCCGTACTGATCACTGAACAGTTTGAATTTCAATGATGCTAAGGATGACGTACCATTAAGAAGGTTTGATCACGTCCACGTCGAGAGTGGAAACAACCAAACAAGGGAATACACAATGAAGGACGTCTCGATAGACCAACCCGACATAATTTGTAGCGTCACCCAATATATTTGCTATGCCAATTGCAATAGTACGTTTATCAGCTATCGTTGTTAAATTTTGCAAGTTTGTCAATTCCGGCACCACTACCTTCTCCAGAAGCATGCGGAACATCCCTGTCTGAATCGTTTCCACTGCCTGAAACTTTTGACATCTAAGTTAATGATTATTTCATTATACAACGAAAACAAAGCACAGAGAATAATGAAGTTGTACATTCGCTTGAACGACGGGAACATTGGACAATGTTCGATTAAAAGGATAAACGATAAAGCTCTCGGAGTTGATCAATCCCTGAGGGATGAGCCATGCATTCCACTTCAATAAGTATCGTTTGAAGGTGACTGGACACACATTTGGCCTTTACGTGACTCGCGGTGGCCTACTAATACATGGAACCAGTGTTGCTACCCTCCCAGAAATGCCTGGTACCAATATGTCGACCCTAAAGGGATGGAAGGCTGAGTGGGATAGGGACGAGGTAATGGATCCCATGTGTATTGCAGGGCGCCTCCGACCACTGTGGCACACGCGCCTAGGCGGAAAATGTTCGGTTACCTCTAAAAAATCACCAAATATGCTGTTTTCAATACTTTGAACTTCGTACCCTAAGTGTTCTAAACAGAAAAAAAACCTTGAAAGAACAAAAAAGTTCTATGAAGTGTGTCAAGAATGACCTACACGAAAACTTAATGTAATGAAGCGCCTTTGAAAGGACTAATTGCAATACAGAACATTTAGAATGTTTACACGTACTTTGGCAAGCTGTTCTGCTCCTCGAACAACAGCAAATTGGCAAACAAACACAACAAAATGTTTCATAAACTTTGGTGTTTTGCTGAATTGCACTCGCTGGAACATATTGTTGAGTAGAACACTCATTGGATCTTCAACACCTTGCGTCATCTGAAATCCCGTAAGTAAAACATCTCAAGTATAAAAGAATAAAGCACTTCGCGTTCATGAATCGCTGAAGGATATGTCATGGATCCGATATCATTGAGGAATGTTAGAGGTCGCCGAACGCATATCTGGCCAGTACAATGACTTGCGATGGCCTAGCAATGTAGAAAGTCAGTGCTGCTACCCTCCTAGACAAGCCTAGTAGCAATTTTTCGCGAACCCAGTTGAAACGGTTTAGTGATCCCGGGACACAGGACTGAACCAATAAACGCGCTTGTATTGCAGGGAAGAAGCACGCATATCGTTCTAATAACACAATCTAACAATGATTTCAAAAAACAGACCTCCACCACAGGCAATATAGCATTAGCTAGTTGAAAACCGTATTGATCTAAAGATTTCGATCCAACCAGCCTTAAAAACACCAAACTAAATAGAGGACTATTTTGATAAATAAAATATCACGAAACATTTAATCACCTAGAGAAGTGTTGCATTATTAAAGCACCATGCTCACGCACCACTACTTCCGGACAATGCTTCAGAAATGTCTGAAAATTCATAGCCTACTTGTCACATACCGAACAAACTGTTTCATGAGACGATGTTTAACAACGCACCTCCACAACTGACAATGCTGCAGGTATATTTGCTGAGCGCGCCCAGAGATCCTTGGAAAGTAGGTACGGAAGAAAGGACAAGTACTTCTGATCAACATTTGGATTCCGCATAAGAGACGACGAAAGAAGCACGCCTGTATTAAAATACCGCGGCTTACACATGAAAAAGGACTAACGCAAAATCACCTGTGATCTGCAAGGCGTAAGGTACTAGATCCGTTATGTCCTGACCAAGAATCGTTTCCAGCAAAGGCATAAGTTCAGCGTCCAGGCTGCCATCAGGGAGGCTTTCCGTCTAATATAACAATTAATCAAAGCGTCTCAAACACAAAGAAATATGCCCTGATTCGATTCATACATTTTTTCCTACACTTTGGCTTGACATCTGCATGGCTACAGTTTATTGCTATACCATGGTGTCGTGCTCCCCGAAGTGTCAAAAACTAATGATGTGTATGAGGGAGTCACTAACGCGTCTCACTAAGAGGCCATCAATCAGTTCGTTGCAATCCCACAAACCGTTTTAACCGGTGCAGACTAAATACGGACTAAAAGCGATTTTGTACTTCCCTCATACAAAGGCAAATTTACGTTATGAAAGCTCTGTCTCTACGCCTCATTCGTTCGTCCACGAGCTGCCAGGCAGATAGCTTTTCTCACGTCGACTGTGTAAAAAAAAGCATAAAACAAAGTGAATAATTCGTGAACTATAAGTCTACTTTGGATACCCTGACCAACTAGCCGCAAATTACGGCAGCGTAGGGATGACAGAGTACCTTTAAAGTGCACTGTAATAAATCTACGGTTCTGCCTAACCGAAGTCGAGTTCTATCCAGCATCGAACTAACTTCGATAATTAAAACTCTCCACAAAAAGAAGATAAAAACAAAAAGATAAGGACCCAAAATCCAAAACTATCGCAAAATAGAATTTTTCATTTCGTCATTCTGCTTTGCGAAAATGTCGTTATTGGCAACATATGTGGAAAACACTCTCGACTTATCTAAGCCATTCATAATAGCGTTAAAAAATAGTGCCTCAGAAATACATGAGGATGTACTTGGTCAATAACTTACACCTGTGCGTAGAAAGCTCAGCTGGAAAGTGATAGAAGAAAATCGCAAGAAGTGAAGAGCAACAGAACTGAATAAAACCACAAAGGTTCAGAATTGTACCCCTAGCAACTTGCAAAAGATGACTACCCTCTGGCACCCAATACGAGCAGTCACTGCATCCGAAATGGCAAAGAAAATCGTCCATGAATCAGAATTCTCAACGAGCGTTACATCCACCTGCTTACATAACATACCAATGAGGTCTAATGTCTTAATACAAGAGTTTTCTTTCCCTTATATCAACACACTATTTCATTAATGAAGAAAAAATAACAGCACTGCTTCTGTACAGATTTAGAACTGAAGATTTGAACAACATAACCACCCCCTGTCAACATCCTGAGCCGACTTTTCATGAAATACCCATCGCAATGGATCCCATCCACTGCAAAACCATCAGAACGCTCTTAATAACTCTCGAAAGACCGACTTTCTATAAACCTCGGCTTAGATAGTTGATATATTTATTTATATGATCTTATAAACTGATCTTCTTAACCCGATGCGAGGCTGGCACAGGTCGTTGTTGTCGTCGTCGCTGCTGTTTGTGCTGTTGATCCATGGCTGATGTTTCGACGATTTCGCCTTCCTCGAAGCCTAGAAGTATTTTATACTAGATTATTTTTATTGTTCGGTGGAAAAAGGTCAAAGTATTAGCGAAGATCAAACTTTTAAATACACTCCATATTGGACAGAAAGGCCACTCAGTGTGATGTTACGTGTGGGACTGGCTCACGCGTTGTTTTCGTGGGGTCGCGAGCAAGACACACCTCGGGTCAAAATATCATTTTGAAATAGGGTGCCAGGTCACGCGTGATGGTGAGGCATTCATCTTCCCGGTTCATCTTTGGATTTTGAAATTTATCCAAAACGCCCCAAGAGTTTTGAGCATTGATGTTTTTGATTCCTGCCCTAGGACTTCAGGACTCAGGACCACAGTCACTTCAAAATCACCGCCGTTGTTCTTTTGTGCCCTATGTGTACCTAGAGGAGTGTTTTGACGGATTTTAGCTTTCCCACCTAGATGCTCTTTTATGCAGACACAAAGCAGTCTACCCGTTTCTCCAATATATTCCTCACTGCATGCATTACATGAGATCAAGTATATTATACCTAAACTCATGCACTCCCCATCTCTCCCGTTAGGGCAGATCATACAGTTTTCTGAACTGCACAAACGATCACAGAGATGGTTGCGAACTAACTGACGGCGTAGGTTATTGAGTAGGATGTGAATAATAGTTATACAATTTTCAAGACCACTTTTTCTTAAGCACCTCTTAATTGCGTGACTAACTACATTTGATATGAAGGGTAGCTTAAAGGAGATCTTACTTACGTCCGAAATATTATTTTGGGGAGCTACCCTAAGTTTCTCTAACCCAAATGGCTTCTACTTCCTATCCATTGAAAATGGCTATTTTTCGTGCTAGGTTTTGCGATTCCTTCCCTTCCTCTTCTTCTGTACACGTTAAATTCCGTAAAAACACTCCTCTAGGTACATATACGACACAAAAACACAACGGCGATGATTTTGAAGTGACTGTGCGGATCCTAGCGCAGGAATCAAATACTTCATTGCGCAAAACTCTTGAGGCGTTTTGGATAAATTTCAAAAATCCTAAGATGAACCAGAAGGACGAATGCCTCACTATCACGCGTGACTTAGCGCCCATTTCAAAATGATATTTTGACCCCGGAGTGTGTCTTGCTCGCGACCCCACGAAACAACGCATGGGCCAGTCCCACACGTAACATCACGGTGAGTGGCCTTTCTGTTCAATATGGTGTCTATCTAAAAGTTTGATCTTGATTAATACTTTGACTATTTTTCCACCGAATAATAAAAATATTCTAATATAAAATACGTCCAGGCTTCGAGGAAGGCGAAATCGCAGAAACATCAGCCATGGATCAACAACACAAACAGCAGCGACAACGACAACGACGACCTGTACCAGCCTCGCATCAGGTTAAGAAGATCAGTTTATAAGATCATATAAATAAATACATCAAAACGTTTTTGTACGATATCCAACACCTACAGGGTATCCGTAACTGCCCACGAATCTACTATTTGTCGTCTACATGGTCTCTAGTTTTTACACTACCCAACATCACATGTCGTGCCGATCCCGGGGTTCATTTCATTTCATCGATCCATATTCTACTAAGGTCTTCAGATTTAAGTGTGGCTTTGGCAGCTGCTTAGAGATTTTTGTCTTCTTAACGCACGTCATTGGTTGTTGGTCGAGTCAATTCTCTCTGGATCCTAGGATAGCTGTTCCAGGACGTTCCCAGATCCTCACCACAGTCAAGCGCAATCTTTCATGAATTGGAGGGAGCGAACTCATTCCATAGAAGTTCGGTACCAATCTACCGACCCTGGAAGGATAGGGGGTTGGTTGGTTCAACGAATGGTTGGACCACGGCCTTGTGTATTTAGAACTCCATCACTATAACTGCGCTACTCGCATCCCTTCTCATAAATTACAAATGGTATTTCCTGTAAAACGTTTACATGAAGACTTCTTCTCCAAAATTTACAACGCGAAGCAGGGTTTCGAAAAAACCTCAGAATGATGAACTGAATAAAAACGCAACTTTGAAGATATACAATAGCATCGATGGCATGGTGAGCAAGACAAAGAATACCAAATTGCTCGTCGTCATTTCCGACTATTACTCCCTCTGTCTTAACATAAGTGTCAGGAATCTTAACATTATGTAAGCAGGATGGAACACCACTCAGAATTATCTCAAGCGCCATTCAAAGAGTGATGCTAGGAGTTCCTGTATCGCATAAAAGAGGGAATTCGAAGTTAGTATCAACGTCGATCAAAATAACGGACATTACTACGTAGCTCCTGATGTCAAAACAGAGAGAGCAGAACACTTTATGCGTCCTACGGGCAGAATATGGAAAACAGCAGGTACCGTCTGGGTCTGAGATGTCAACTGCGCTACAGGAGTACAGCTGGTCACATGACCAAATCTCTTCACAAAGACCCTACAAAAGGAAACTCCTCGTATCCTCCGGATGAAAACAACCCAATGCGTAATTAGAGATAATTTCCACACAAAGGAGACGAAAACAGCACAGGAGTGAACTAGCAGTTTTTAGCGCTCACTCGTAACAACAACGAAAAAGACACGTAGTCATATAGTTGTAAACCTTTTCCTAGCCATGGAGAACTTGGAACATCCTAGCAGGGATATATTGGGAATGATTAGAAAAATGCAACCTCGGAAAATGAACATTACAGTGACGCCTCTGATGCCAGTGGTGATCAAAACGGTGAAAAATAATCAAATCTTATATAATGCTGAGATATTTCTAAAACTCCGGACCGCAGGTGTATGCGGTGGGGAACGAACACGCGGTGGAACAATCAAATCTTAGGTTGTAACGAACTTCAATGGGACCTCAGCACCCAACTAACAATTCCACAAGACGTACACATTGCACCTCTCCAGTTATCACCTTTATTCAAGTCACCGGACGACAAGGCAATTCCTATGTTGTCAGAAAAAATCAAAATTAAGAAACACGAAATCTGTCAAATAACACATTTCATATATGTGAATAGATCCCGTCATAAAATACCAACCTCGTAAACTCCATTCTACACTAACTAAAAGTTACTCATAACGTAGATCTCGTGAAAGGCAACAGCGTAACGTGTCATCTTACCACACTCCGTTTAGGACCTCCACGATCGGTATCAGATGCCAGCCACCATACAGACGATAGGAATGAGTTAAATGCGTTTAACATCGATCCAAAGAATTGGTTTAGTACGACAAACCTTTCCATAAACTTCCTCGCAGACCTTGAATGCTAAACTAGGACTGACCGGTGGAAGTGAATACAGGACCAGGAGATTTGGAACATAGAATCAAGCAAATAATGAAAACCGCCTTGTTGAATCAGTCTACACTGCAAAACCCTTCAACAGAAACTCACTTTTTGAGCAGAAAAGGCGGTAGACTTGGTGATTGTCAAGTAGGACGACCCATGCAAACAGGGCACAACTTTGCAACTAGAAGATGATGACCCCTTATAGTGAATAACAACAGATTTAACAGTTAAAGATACTTCTACAAAAAATCTTTTACACCAACCTTTTCCTTTACGCTATTGTCATACCATCATTTTCTCCGGAAGAAAACTACTAACTTTCACCAAGACGGATCACCAGAAAGACAACTCCAAAGCAAGGAGAAATAAAAACAGATTTTTTTGGAGATCACGAAATTGTCGCAATCCACACGATGCCAACCTTCTAAAGAAAGAAGCAATACAGAACAATTGGGTTCAGCAATTTTGTTAAATACAAATATTGTCCTGTTAGCATTTTAGGGTCAGCTGATAAATAGTTTCCAAATCGTGCTCATAGAAAGAGTTCGAAAAAGTGGCATAATCTCGTAAAATACACTAACGCAAAATCTCTATCCAACCCTCGTTTTGCTAACGACACAATCATCATTTCGAAAAGTACAAGTCAGGTCAAGAAGATGTGAACGGTTACCCATACAGGTAGTTCTCTAAACACTATCCATGCACCTACGGTGTTCAGATAATATGCTGAACGAAATGAAAAACAAACTGTACTAAAGATGGACTGCATCATTCGCTACTTTTAAACATTCAAAGAACATAAGTAGTTCGTCTTTGATGAGAAATCACGTAAACTCCTGGACAACTCTTGTTTTAATGGCAACCAGCTGGTCGAACAAGATTCTTTCAGCATTTCGAGAAAGTGCGCCTTCCCAAGGCATTACATCAGGAACTCGCCGGTCCCTTCGCATTGAGAACTTGCCTGCTTGCTTACTCCAAGGGCAGCGGTTATTCTTAACGCTACATTACTCTTAACTTGACTTTCAAATGGAAATGGCAGACTTTTTCAGCTTCACAGGAAACCCTGCTTGGGAACGAATTTCTACATGCCCATGGCGACTCTACATTTAGGAACATCACTCAGTTACGATGAAGTGAAGAATTATTAGTAGGCTACACCTTCTGACAATAAAAAAACTCAAGGACTACCAGATCCATGCCTTTTATTGATAAACAACGAGCCCAACCCCACTCCCCCCCAACGGTGTACCGCCCCATTGTAGCTGGGAAGTGTTCTTGGGTATCGTGCTGCGATGTAAAGCAAGGGGGGGGGGGGGGGGGGGGGGAATTCATCCCCTCATCAGGATCTCCCAAGCTGAGAAGGAGTCCGGCGTTTTCGACATGAAGCTCAGATAAGAGTAAACCAATACCAGAATCCGTCACTGTCCTGGTAGCAAACTAGTTGCATGGTGGCAAATCTCCCTCTGATCCACAAGAGCCTGTCGTGGTGATCACCTGGAGCAGACTTTGGCCTGGCTGTCCTCAGAACTCCGAGAAACCACAATGGTTAAGCTAGCAAACTTCCGAAGAATGGATATTATCCTGAGGCGAGCACAACCAGTGAGACGTGACATCCAAGGAAGTATTACACATCAACTTACAATCAGATCAATCACAATCAATGAAAAGTAAAACCACACCTTTTTAATGAGAACGCACATCGTCTCGAAAAGAAAGTGAGTATGCACGGCGTCAGCGGGATTCTTTATCGTCGCTTCCACCAATGACGACAATTTTGACGCTATCTGACTACCACATCGTGCTGTTTCCTCCTAAAAAATCAACAAAAATATCCCAAAAAAATTAAATAGAAACAGCTATCGGTTTGGATAGGTATAACCTACATCAAGTATAGCCACACATCGCAAAATAGCTTTAATGAGGTACGGAGAGTTTTGCGCTTTAGGATCCTTGTCGAAACATTTGACGAGATTATTCAGAAGTGATCCCACTGGCACAACTCTTGCTGTCAGCAATGGTAGCTAAAATGAAAACGATCACGCCCATCACAGACAACGACTGCAAGGGAAAGAAACGAAGGGCAAATGTGCTGCGGCCCGTACAACTCGTGAAGACGGACCGTCCAAGCATAACTAGACTAAGACCAAGCAAATAAGTAGTCAAAAAATGAGAAAAGGTTCGGTAAAACGTCAAAAAAGAAGAGTAGGCTAGTTATACTTGGTTACACTTACTTATAGTTTTAAATTCAATGAGCTCCATGTTATGAAACTGTCAACTAAAAATCGATAAGATAAACGCTTTGTAAAGTGAATAGTTCGAAATTATAAAAGACTGAGAGGTCATGAAAATACGGAATTGTAATCTACCTGGTATAAAAGATCTTCAAGTATGAGCACTCGTTCATTCAAACACCACTAAAGCTTACCGTGCTATTAGGTTGTTTGACCAGGAGAAGTTTGTCGAGAGCATATGCAGCATACTTCTGCAGGATTGGAAGCCGAGATGTCAGAATGCGATCCACTGCCTGCACCACTTCGACCAACACGTCGGCAGGAAGTTGGTTTCGAAAGGTTACAACAAACCTACGGAGGGAAATTTTAAGGAAAACCAAAAATGGAAAGTCAAGAACTGTGAAAATGAAGAAAATGTACACCATCGCACCGACAACTATAATTGTAAATATTTTGGTTTCAGTATGGTACTACAGGACAGAAACACTTCTACTTAATAGTTTTCAAAGGACCACTAAATTTCACACTATTTCTAGTTATCGACTTTTTAAAGACGGATCTCACTAAGAAGATTTATAGGCCAGTTATTTTTGGTTTACAACACGCAAGAATTATCTTTTACTAAACCATGTCCAACGTACTTAAATGCATCAGCTTTAAGTATCGGTGCGTCATCGACGGTTCCACTTAAGTGAACTCGTACCTGACTGGCATGGTAATCTCGCACGTTAATCTGAAACATCGCTACTGATCCACTATTCAAATAAAAACGTATGGTCCAAATAAGTATTCCTTCTTTGATAAGCTTAAACGAGGTTGATACATAATCATTCCTCGGCTAACGTTCCGACGTCTTCGTCTCCAAAACAAGTTGTAATCACCAAACAATCACTACTACCAGCAGCCAGCATCCTGTTTAAAAGATGCATCGCTGGGTGAGTACGGCTCATTCAAGGGAGATGCTCCACTGAGGAAGATCTGGCTCGATATGAAGACGAAGACGCTACCTCAACAACACGAACAACTGTGGACCATCGACTCGGATCATCGGTTATGGTGAAAATAAACGAGTCGAAATGTTAGCCGAATAAAGATTATATACCATCTCCGTGTAAGCTTATCAAAGAAAGAATACATATTGAATAGTCACATCGATGTTGAAGTCGGTTTTGAAATAAGGTCCAAAAACCTCACTTCACGAGAAAATCGGTAACAGTTAATGAACATGAAAAACGATACACCCATAAGACAACAAGGTGAAATTGAAAGAATGCGCCAAACCTACCAAAGAACTCGTACTAGTCACGCCACTCTTTGCTGTCTCCGTTTTCGAAGCAATAGCAGTAACGAGACAATAAACTACGTCCAACTTCATCCAGTCTCCATCAGAGCAGAGCAATTGCACTATCTAAACAACGAGACATGTGGTCACACAACTGAATTTAAAGTGTATCGTTTTAAAAATATACCTGAGAGAGTATTGGAACTAGTCGATCCTCATACTTCCTGCACAAAGCGCGCACAAGGTCAATAGCTCCGCGACGACGTGTGCATGCATCAGAACCTTGAAGATAATAGAAACGTTAAAAAAAAGGATAAAGCTCTCGGCGTTGATCGATCCCTGAGGGATGCGCCATGCATTCGACTTCATTAAGCATTCTTGGAGGTGACTGAATGCATGTCTGGCCTTTACAATGTCTCGCGGTGGCCTACCAATGTATCCAACCAGTGCTACTATCCCCCCCCCAGACAAATCTGGTTCTATCTGGTCGACCCCGGAGGAATGGAAGACTTGGTGAGGTAGGTGCGCGGGGATCGATCCCATGTGTATGGCAGACCCACTCCGACCACAGTGCTAAACGCGCCCCTATTAGAATCGTTAAGGAGTAAAATAAAACACATTAAATGTACCTTCAATGTCTCTTTTCAAGTATTCGATTGGTTCATCTTCGAACATTTCCAGATCTTCTTGCCTCAAATGAAGATTTTTCACGCAAACATCTTCTACAATGAGAAACCCGTCAACAATACGACAACATTCTAATCAAACAACTACTAATTAACTCACGCGCCATCGTTTGCAAAACGCCCTCTCCAACAAAGTAACTCTCATAGTGGGTTTTCTGACAGATAATTGATAGAAATTCTAGAGCAGCGCAGACCATGCCATCGAATCTAAATAGAAGGTGCTAAAAACCACTAAGGTGAATTAGTTCCTAATCCAGATACACTGCACTTGGATACTTGGGCGGCCGTCCACACTGGTTGTGCGGGCCCCAGCATAATCTTCATTTTTCGGAGTTTTGCTGGTTTAGCCATTGTGGTTCCTGTAAGGTCAGCCTGGACAAAGGCTGCCCCAGGTCGTTACCATCACAGGCATTCAATGCCGTTTTGGATTAGGGGAAGATTTGCCACCATGCAACTAGTCTGATACCATCACGGTGTTGGACCCTGGCACCAGTTTACCCTTAGCTCGGCTTTGTGGTGGAAACGCCGAACTCCTCAATATTGGGAGACCCTACCAGGAAGATGAATCCCCCGCTGTACATCTCAGCCCGACACCCAAGAACAACTCCCATCCACGATGAGGCGGTAAACCGCTGAAAGGCCAGATACACTGTAACCATATCAAAATGTTCTCAACGTCTGATTTCTGTTAGCGATCTCAACGATACGTAATTGTTGGTTCTACACCGTGCAGCGAACTCGGAGCACGTCGTACGTTGTGCCCCTATAAAAAGAAAACACTAAGTACCCTTCAGATCACGTGGGCTAAGTTCAGGTACAGATGGGATATTTTTTCTGAAAAGTGAGATGAATGAAGAATAGAGAATGTTGTTAGTCGTTAATCAATCCCTAGGTGATAGCCGTTCGATTCCACTAACCACCGTAGAAGTGAGTGAATAAGGGCTTATACAAGGACTTGCGATAGTGTATACATATCAACTTGATGTTCTAATCTCCCACACTAACCTGGTTCTAATTTTCCCACTTCTGAGCTAGGAAAGGGTTGGTTTGCCTGTGTTGCGGATCGAACCAAAGAATGTGTGTATTGAAAAACACCTTTAACCACTGCGGTAAAGCGGCACTGCTAAGTTAGATACCAACAACTGTTGTTAAATCATTTCATTATCTCAACGCCCACTGCATAGTTCCTCATAAAATGTCGGTGTCATTCAGTTGCGGAATTGTTATAGAAGTGACGAAACCTCGCTTGTTTAATCCACCTGCTTCGTAGTAATAGTCAGCCAACGAACATTATTTCGCTTACTCCATCACAAATATCCTCAAAATAACAAACCGACTGGTCTGAACAGCAGCACAGAACTTTACGGACTTATCAGATCGCTATCGACATATATTATGGTTGTTCATCCTGCGGTAGACAAAAACTGGGAGCAGCGCGAATGTCATGAGACATCCAACTGTCGATCACCATTATAAGATTGCTCGCCAGTCCCTCGTTCTGTGGGAGCAATATTAAGCTGTTGAACGACACCTGGAGTAGGGAGCTGAGTGTCTCTGCCAATTTGCGATTGCTCCCCGATTCTCCGCTAGTGAGCTAAGCAGCGCGTCTTGACACAGCACCATCGACTACCCAACTCCCGAATACTAGGATTTAAATGACGTGAACCGTGGAACCATAGTTGCTCCATCACGACTACAGACTTAAAAAATAACTCAAGACCGACTTTCTTCTGACCTCAGTATTGGTTAATAATTCACTGGTTCTCTTGACGAGCAAACACGAGCTTGGTATCATAGCACCTATTAGTGCACAGCAGCTGACGTTAGGGCGGCGTAGGAAGCAGTGAATCTTAAACTTAATACTGAAGCGACAAGCTCACCTCGTGTCAATACCGGTTTGCACTACAAGTTGCCAAACTGCTTGAATGATGTCCTCCATAAATGGATTGATTTCCTCTTCAAAACGCTGCGCGTATAGAGTAAATATCTCACAAACTTCCATCTAAAAGAAGGAAATTGACTTTCGTAAGAAATACCTACTGTTTCACGTAGATTCTCGAAATAAAGCATAAAGCGTATTGACCCATCACAGATGGGACTGTTTTTCCGACAACTAGTGAGGAGATGTGGAACTGATAAACTTATAGCTGGAAGGGATTGCACTTTCCCTATGGGGACATACACAATTCTTATGATGCATCACTAATTCAATTTTTCGCTGAAAACTTAAACACTGAGGAAATGTTCCGATTCTAACCAGAATGATTCTGAGATATTTGCAAAACTCCAGACAGCAGGTGTCTGCGGTGGGGACCGAATACCCTGTTATACCCTTTCCGGGAGTTAACGCGTTCACCACCACACCATGCACGCCCTTCATTTCGCCTTTCTCTCAGCTAGTTTTCTGTCTACCAGTGTCATCAGCAATTACCCGTCAACGAGATTGATGAGGCTATGATTCTTAGCGCAAAAACACGACCACGCCCGACTTCAGGGATGGACATTTAAGGACATTAACGTCTCATTTTGGACGAAACCCTGCTTGTTCTATCGCATCATTGTTCACGAGACGAACCAGTACAAAAAAGAAAGGTTAACATGAGGGAACGAAAAGAGCTCTATTCTGATATAATACCAAAACTTGTACCTAGTAGGCAAAGACGTTTATTCTAAAAAATGTTACTTCAGACAAGATTCATTGCGAGTTGAGATATGTTTGCTAACAGATGGAAAGTGAAGATATTTTCGAAGAAGTATGAACTGGAATCAATTCATATCTTCCAGAATTTGTGCGCAGTTGGTAAAGATCCGTGTAGTCTACACATTCTTTACGCGCTGTAAGACTTGTTAACTAATATTTCAAGTTTAAAAGATATTTAAAGAATAGAAGGAACACAGTTGTTACAATTATTACAATTACAGCGATCATGAACTTGACATCTACACTTTTCACTCCCATACCCATATTTTAACGTACTTTTAATTCATCAAGGAAAGTGGCTTCACCACCGCCAGAAGAAACACCAGGACAATCCATTTTCATGGTCTCCAGAAATCCCTCTACCCAAGGTTTCAAATTATCCTAAAACAATTGCATAGATATCCATAGTCGAATAAGAGATGCAGATTTCTGAAATACGGCTAAAAGTTCAATGCAAACCTTTCATACGAACTTGCCTCGAAGTACTCCGGCAGATCTTGGAAGCATAAAGAATGAAACACTTTGCAGACTAGACACAAAATCTCGAGCCACTGGGTGAGAGATTCACACGACATTGATGACCGTTGTGGGATAAATTCGACCATTTTCATATAAATCTGTGTTAAAGGCTCTTGTACCTGAAATAACGCTTAAGGCCAACAACCTGTTGAAGTGAAAAAACAGTGCTAAACTATGAAAACTTACCGTCAACAAACATGATTTAAGCTCGGTCCAAAGAGATGTGGATTTACTCTCATAACGGAACTTTCTGAACAGCTGATCCATCGCAGATAAAGCCGCCACGAGTCGGTTGAGATCGTCTACTTTCAGATGCTCCACAAGTGACGGTACCAACGACGGCCAACGGGTAGGAAAATCTCGCTTGAACAAAGAACATTCACTACCTCAAGAAAGCATAAATTGCGGGTAGGGTACTCCCCCTTGCAACGGTTTTTGTGGCTGGGAGGTGTCCTGGGTGTGGGCTACGACATACTGCGGTGGGATCCATTCTCCCGGCAGGGTCTCCCAAGCTGAGGAGCCCGGCGTTTCTATCAGGAGGCCTAGCTAAGAGTAAACTAATACCAGGACCCACCACCGTTCTGGTATCAAACTAGCCGTATGGTGGCAAATTTCCTCCTGATCCACAAGGACGGCGACTTCCTATGGTGGTGACGAACTGGTGGCAGACTTTGGCCGGTCTAACCTCGAGAATCCAGGAAACCATAGTGGCTAAACCCGCAAAACCCCGAAAAAACCGAGATTATGCTGGGGCCCGCACAATCAGTGAGGACGGGCCGTCCAAGTATCCAAGTATCCAAGGATACTCCCCATAATCCTAAACGAAGTACTGTTTTTAAGACCACCGCGAATGCAAAACCACTAATTTCAACCGAAATACTCCATAAATCCGACGAGACGAAATACCAAACCATGTTGTCACACAGAAATCTTACTGACCTTAGCAATGAGATGCACAGCGTGAGAAAGCTGGCTTTGCACAGTTCCGCTAGTAAGAAACATTCCCTGAAGAACCGAACTTCGAATTGCTTCTTCTTCTTCTACAGTGAGATCCACTTCAGGCGCTTCTCCCTAAAAACGAGCTTCTCTAAAGATGGGGAAAAACCGATAGAACAAGAAGAACGTACCCAGTTCTTCCTGATGAAATTCTTCAACGCAACAGCAGCAGCCATACGTATTTCAGGGGCAGTTTTATCAGTACAAACAAGTTGTAGCAACAAAGATGCGAACCCTATAAAAAAAACTTCAGAAAACGCCCAGTTAAAGATTTATCCATATAATTACGGGAAAAAACATTGTAAGTAAGATTTAGACCAGACATCAAGCTTATTCCTAAGCGTAGACTCCCTAAAAGTACCTGAGATCTTTTCAAATTCCCAAATACGATGCTCAGCCTGTTTTCTGACATTAAGGTCCTGCTGAAGAGTGCCTTGAAGAGCAAGTGTGACCTGGTGGACATCCTCATCCATTCCTACATAAGAAAAAACGAAATCAGAAAACTCTACGGAAGGATGACTAGGAAGAAAACGTGAAGACACATTCTGGAAAACAATGATGTTCATTTCTGCCAAAGTAGGAAGGGAGATCCGAACGTCTGAGTCAGAGAGTTTGTTTCGAAAAACAAGAACATCGAACTTTTTCTACGATAGGCATAAATAAACGAATAAAGTCGCTATGCTATAGAATATTGGAATATTCGTCTCCAACCTACTTGCTGAAAATACAACAATTACAATCTTTAGAAAGTTGGAAGAGGAAGTTAGGCAATCGTACGTGATCGTGGTGGAGTTAGCGCGCTCCAATGCCACACATTTCCCGCCTCTGCGTCATTCGAAGCTGTCTCATGACGACTTTTTTGCACACACACAACGCCCGAAGTTGCTCCTGTGACAACTGCTGGTAATTTTTCGATGTAGTTAGTATAGGTTACCGTTACCAGGATCCACCACCGCGCTGGTATCAAACTGGTTGCATGGTGGCAAATCTTCCTGTGATCCACAAGGGCCGTCTGTGGTGGTGACGACTTAGGCGGACTTCGGCCAGGCTGAACTCGGGACTCCAGGGAAACACAATGGCTAAACCAGCGAAGCTCCGAAAAGTGGAGATTATGGTGGGATCCGCACAACTAGTGAGGATGAGCCATCCAAGTATCCAAGTGAGTATCTAAGTAGTTCAGGTTTGAGAACCTGATCGTCAGCATGTCAAAGGCCAGTCGAAGCATTGTTTTCTTCAGTAGCTGTCCCAGGTTTCGAACATTCGGGTGCAGTTCGAGTTTGTCTGTTGAAAGAATCGTTGATGGCTTTGCTCCAGTGAAGATGCCTGGCTGACGTGAGATGTGGTGCAGACGTTATGGATCGAAATAGTTACTTATAGAATCTTTTTCTTACCTCTTAACAGGAGTTCGTAGCATGAGCAATAAGCGTTGTGTTTTACTAAGATCTAGACTATTCTTCATCGTGCTTTTTCTCTCCCATGATACCCCTGATTCGTCGTCTGTCACTGTAGATAAAGATCCTCCTACATTCGACTTTCTATGGATGCTGCGTACGAACGCAATTTTCTGTTTTCAGCACTTCAGTTTTGGTTAACAAACTTCAAGAATTTATCTTTTATGTAAAAAGAGTTTGCTCGGCGCATGTTTGGAGACCTTTCGACAGCATCTCATAGTCATCTGTCGGGTCTTCGCTTTTGCGTTCACGTGTATAACATGTCGCCTTCCCTGTTCATCGTCGAGTGTCTCGAGCGAACGCCAGTTAGTCTTCCATTTCTACCTATCACGTGCTAGGGTAGCCCAGTGGGTTCTGCGCGCTCTAAGGACTCGTTGAGCATCACACCTTTCTTCTAGGGTTTTAGGTGAAGAACTCTCACCTATCGGATCGGTGGTCCTCTTGCAGTACTTTTGACATTCCGAGGAATCCGATCACTAACGGCTCTTGTCCATTGTTAAGACAGGAACTACCGTCCAAAAGGATAAGGATTTTGCTCTGAGACGACCGGTGTTGCATGTACACAACCAGGAGCGGTACGTCATGTGTGCGTCGTTGCTTTTTAGATACACATAGGCCTTTTCTTTTGCATATTGAATGCATTGCTTTATTTGGAGTCCTGAGATAGCCGTACTAGGTCTTTCCCGATTGTTTACCGCAAGCAGTGATTCCTTTTGGATCATAGGGAAGTTCACTGTGTGGTTTTTCCATAGCAGTGGCGATTCCCGTAACGGCAATGAATTTTGCGATTAGTTGACGGTGCGGTCAACAGCGATGTAACAAGTTCCTTGACAGGGATTTGTGAAGCAAATTTCATTGATTTTCTAGACCACCTTATTTTTTCTTCTGCTTAGAACCGCGAGTTGCTTGTTTGGTTTCTGTAAAGTGCACGATGATGTTGTTTATTGGGTTTCTGCAAGGTGGATTATGAGGTTGTTTTTGAAGACAGCGACGAATCACCACCTACTTGCTTCGCTACAAGCTTTTTGATGGAATGATATGTACTTTACAATCTGCGCATCCTCTGGCACATTCCCGCAATAATGCACGAATATCTACGTATATACAAAGATGCAAAAACTAGAACATGCCGTAAACATGGAACTCGTCCCTGAATACAAATACGTCTCATGAAAAGTACAAGATCATTTTTCGTTCTCACGTTTAACCTCCATCCATCGACAGTGAACGTGTCACATAGCTTCGCGACAACCCGATTTACTATCCCTCAGTGATAGTAATGAGTTCGGACGTGGGACATCCATTCATCTAAACACTAAACGACTCGAATTAGACGTTCATATTTGTTTTGAGATACGTGGACCTATAATTGGTTTAACAGCCACATACGCTCAAATGTTAATTTACGATGACCATGTTGTCGATCTTGGAGAAGTCATCTTGCAAATGTCTTATAGAGAATGCTATTCGTAGCTTTTACAAAGGTGAGGACGGGTAGCACAGTGGTAAAGTGCTATTTAAGACGCCCAAGGTTGTAGTTGTAGTTTGTAGTTGTCCGCTATGGGTCAATCAATACCCCCACCCTACATTCCCTCTGGGTCGGAAAATTGGTACCAGATTTGTCTGCGATTAGCTTACTCCTTCCAGTCCATAAGAAGCAACGCTTACTCGCCGTGAAGACTGGGAGACACCTTAGCAGGTCTATTTCATGATTTCAGGAAAGATCGTCGTGACCACCATTCAACGATACTCGTAAAGATCACCAAAAATACTCAAGCAGCAGCTTCACCCACACGCAATCACCAACTTAAACACTAGGCTTTACCTTTTATTTCCTGCTTGCTACAATTTTCACGGTTGGGTACTAAGCGAAATACAACCACAACCTTGTCGAGATATTTGCAAAACTCTGGACCGCAGGTGTCTATGGTGGGAAATGAACGCGCTATTGTCTTAACCGGGGAGTAACGCGTTCACCACCACACCATGCGGATCGTTTTCGGTCGTTCCGCCTGTCTCTCAGCCAGTTCTATCGATCAGTGCCATCAACAATCACCCGTCAACGGGATTGATCTGGGCTGAAAGACAGGCGAAACGAAGGACCCGCATGGTGTGGTGGTGAACGCCTTACTCCCCGGAAAGGACTATAGCTCGTTCGTTCCTCGCCATAGACACCGGCGGTGCAGAGTTTTGCAAACATCTCAGCAACATTGTGATTAATCACTAGGTTTCACACAGAAACAACATTTGAATAACATTACATAGAGCTTCACAGATCGGAGTGGAAGGTACATAGTGCTGAGCTGTTTGAATTCATTGCAATAATCAAGTGTTTATTCTTCTCATGGTCAGATCTCGAAGTTTCCCCAATGAAGATCATCATGAAATAGATTCTAGCGCACTATATCGGAGATTTGTCCCAGCCAATATCGTTGTTATCCAACAAATTTGCATGGGATTATATGCCACTCAATATTCTGTCTTTGCAAAAAGCAGAGAAACTCCAAAATTCAGGAAAAGAAGTCCGATAACCATAGTACAGTGAAATTTGTTCAGATCATTAGCAGTATAGAGCTGTGGTCGGTGGCACCCTGAAATAGAGACATGGGATCGCTCCCCGCTCCCAAGGCTCACCAAGCCTTCCGTCCCTCCGGTGTCGGCAAATTGGTAGCAGACTTGTCTGGACGGATAGCAGCTGCTGGATACATCGGTAGACCACCATGGGTCATTGTAGAGACCATATATGCACTCAGTCAGCTCCAGCTTAATGAAGTCGTATGCATTGCGTATCCGTAAAGAAGAATACCGTTATTGACACCATCAGCAGTTGTAGAGGTTGTGTACAGCATTTACAACATCCGCCAAAACTCCGCCTTCTACAAAACCAAAGTGGTCGCCTTCCAGCGGACGTGAGTTGCTGTATCTAGATGAACCGACGAGGGCCGTTGCGGTTGACGTTTCGTCCATCGCCACTCAGGCGATGAACCGTGTGTTTCGTACTGACTAAGTGCTCTACTAACATTACTCTTTCCTCTTCGTGTTTTTCCCTATTGTTTCTTCCTTTGTGTTTACTATATTTTTGGAACATTTATAATTCTTGCGTGTTGTGAAAGGAACTTACTAGCCTTTCCTTGTCGATTTTACAACAGATCTCTGGTATACTTTTTTCCTTCCATGTACTTTTTTAACCCAAGCCTGAATTATTTATGTTGGCGAAAGACTAATTGAAGCAATAACAACAACAATGACAATTGTACCAATCAGCTCAACAAAGGTAGTTCGCAAGAATATATATATATATATATATATATGTAGTCGAAGTATATTTTCAGTCGACTTCTCATCGATAGTGAACCAGTCCATGGTACACCCAATTGGCAAATGAATTTTAACATGAAAAGTTAGTCTGTGGAAACAGACAGAGATAGCGATGATAAGCAGAAACTAGGAAAAAACAATACCATGGGTAAATATAGGTCTCTATACAATGTACGAATACAGCCACCACGGAAATCCGGCATCTGCATGCATTTTCATGCCTTTTCGTATTGTACTGTAACCACTACCTATCATAGGGATGGCGAAGGAAAGAGCAACCAATAATTTTGGAAACTGGGACGTGAGTGACTGACCGGGTATGGTCTAGTGTAAAAACGAGAGAAAGCATATCACTGTTATGCAAAATATCGAAGAATATTCTTGTGTGGAGCATCGCTTCAACGAAGCATCTTCGTTCGGAGAGCAGTTCTTTTATGCGGGACGGTATTCTAACTATTACCGTTCAATGTGGTCAACTGATTTGCTGATCTGCTTTCATCGTGATAATGTATCCTGAAGAAGTCGGTGTTATACATTACCTGGCACCTGACGTTTCACTACTTCTAAAAACCGATTTTTATTCAAATTCAGCATAAATAGTCAGTATTTTCGTGGATTATTAGGCTAACATGAGGATGGTATAAAATTTTATTCGGCTAACGTTGCGCAGGGCCACCACCACCATGAAAGCAGATCAGCGGACAGGCTGACCACATCGGGCGACAATAAACCAAAAACCGTCCTGCACTGCCGAGTGGGAATACTTCGTTCGAGTGGTGTTCCACTCCACACTCAGTACGACAACGTTTCCGGTATCATTTGTATAAATTTCACTGGTCAAAATTCAATTCTATAGATTTGGACTATGGGAAGGATGTATTGGATTTGTATCGATTCTTTATCGAAAGCAATCAGGAAGATGTTGATAGTGACACTGACGTCACTAATCTCAGGCATCTGTTGGATTGGAATACCTCCCAGGTTGAGAACTAGATTTAACGACGGCGGGAAGCACTTTTCTCATAAAGGCCTTTCTCTACTTCGTAAGGAATACTCCCTATCTACTCGTACTATTACTAAATATTTGTCACGTTACTGCCACACTTTTCTGTGCGTTATTGTTACATTGAAGTATTCTGCAATTCCACCGCCTATGCCACTTCGATTGTTTAGAACCATTATTACTGCTGACTGGCGGTATGCCTTTGCCCATTCTGTCCTTATATCGTACACAGGCACCCTGTCGTTTCGTGCCACATCGTTCTCGTAACTTTCTAAAACCGTCCATTCCTCCACATGAAGCAAATACAATACTCACACTCCACGACAGCATATAAGTGTTACCACTCAGTTGTCAGCCCACTTCTTCTCGACTCAGCTTACCCACCACTTAGCTTTCTCCTTGGTTGAACTACACTTGTATGAACAGCAATTGTATGAATCGCCATTTGACCCTCGTTTTTAGTCCGACTATAGTCATATGATGTACAATTATTTGGTTTGTTCGTAATCCTACTTCATCAGTGCAACCTCTCCTTATTGGTTTCCAACTGTGCAGTGTAATCCGTTCTTATTTAGTAGGTCGTTTCACTGATGTCCATAAAAAGTGCAATTTGTAAAAGTAGTGGTTTACGGTGATTATAAAGTTGTATCGGAAAGGTGTACATTCCAAACGGAATCTCAAATTGTCCTAAACAGGGAATTTGCAAAATTAACAAAGGATTCTCAGAATAGTAGTTAAGAATATACGTTTCCAAAGCCACTGTTTAAAAATATCCATGAATACACAATCTGTGAACATCGAACCACCCTGAAGCAGGTATTTGTGCTGCAGTTGCACCTACAGAAATCTCCTCAATGATTTGTCATGAGGAAAAATGTCGCTAAATATTGAACAGTGAATCCTATAGAATAGAACTTTCCTCGGTCGATGTTCTGTACAACAAATGAGTCGATAACATGGTGTGGTGGGGAACGCGTTAGACCCCGGATAGGTTAATAGCACGTTCGTTCCCAACCGCAGACACCTGGCGGTCCGGAGTTTTGCAAATATCTCAGCATCATTGTGGTTGTAGCTTACATACTACCCTGCTATGAAAAGTATTAAGTAGTAAATAGAAAGTTAACATTGTGTTGATAGTTTCTTTACCTTAAGCCTCGAACAATTTTAAAGGTGACACAAAGAACTCAGTGCGGCAAAATAAGTAACTGAAAGAGACTTCGTCATACATGCGACAAAATAAACAGCTAAAGGAAGAGACCTACAGTACTGATGTAGGTAGCAATGCCAACTCTTGGCTAAGCGATGATAGTAATTATGTAATCATGCCGTTATCACTAAAGTTTAGTCGTAACGTTCTGTTGAATTTCGCTCAACGTCAATGGTATGGCAGGGAGCTGCAGTTGATAAAGGTGTTTATCTGGTGAAATGAAGAAAGCAACGGATAGTGTCATTACTTAGCTGTCAGTAGTACATATCACATACTAGGCAGAACAATACCAGCCGTTGTAGCCTCATCCGAGCTCAACAGCCAATTGAATACTACACTGAACAATTCCCTACAATCAATACTTAAACCTCTTCAAATAACACTTTATCACAGATAGTAATCCAAATAATCCAAAACCTACTATATTATATGGAATACATTAACGAAAATAGAAACGTTTAGACAAAGACACCTACAAAATTGGAGGTAAGAGCACCTTCGGTGCCTGATTAACAGATTCACGACAGTGTCTGCAAACAAGTACCGGTAATTCCTCGAACGCATTTGAGGACTTCGACACCTTGCAGACTAATAGAACAACGACATCGCCCTCAATGTGAAAAGCTTCCATGTTCGCCTTCACTCTTCTTTTGCTCAGAACTAAAAACTTCAAAAACCTAGAAATCAGATTCTCGAATTTCTCACAAAAAGTACGATCCGCCAACATCTACGATATACTCAACAGCACTAATGTAATTTGTTTGCATGAGATTAACCGTGTTCAACACTTCACTCAAGATGCAAGTTTTGAAAACAAAAATGAGGAAAGTTCCTCATGAGCGGGCATGGAACCAATTCCCATGATAGCAGAATATTTCGATCTCAACTGTTTTATTCGAATTAATAGAATTCGCCACAAAATGGGACACTTCTTTCCAAATTCGCAAAACTAAAATATTTCCAGACACATGTGTCGCAGGTGAGTCATTTCGTCGCAAATATATCATACAGTAACCCGCTTCGCTACGCAACGTAACGCAGTGTCATCTCCCATCACATAGAACTCATAAATATCAAGAAAATAGTACATGGCCAGAATGCACTAAAAGCGAGAAAATATCGTGGCAACTAACGGACTCAAAGTAGTAATACTCTCCAAAAGATTAGTACAGTCAAACCTCTTCAAGCTTACACAAATTGCTATCACTATTCTCCAAATATCTGAGAAACAACGAGGATACAATGAAGAGGTATGGTAAAATGATTATCTTAGAAGCCATTTTAATGTTGAAAATATAAAAGAACACCAGGGAAATACACATTATTACATCACCAAATGCTCGAATTACGTTTCATAAAGTCCTACTTCCAAAACAGTAAGAGAACACACAGACCAAATTAAACTAGTCAATAAACAATGTAATAAACCTACTATCCATCCAACAAACAGTGCATTTTTAGCAGTCAATAATTGCTATAATTCGATCTGACAATGAACATCAGACTATTTGAGGAAGCAGTAGGAACGGAGTGAAGTCTGTTCATCATTCAGTCTCGGATGGGATACACTTCAGTAAAGTCCAGTGATAAATACATTCTTTCCGTATTTAGGGATGGATTTGACGCGGTGATTCAGGAACATGCGTGTAAATACTACTATGAAATAAACAGCATATTAAAAAAATTTCTCGAAACTAATTTCCCTATAAATTTCTGTGGTTTGCACTCACCTCAGGTCGAATAAGGATTCAGTTTTAGTCCTACATATTATATGAATTAATTGGCATTACCCGAGCACAAAAAATTAAAACAGGGAAACGACGTCATAAGAAGGTGCAGTTGAACTATTCACTACTAAAACAGGAGAGAAGTAACTTTCAATTTAAACAAACGCTATTTAAACACGTTCTCATCAAGGGATTTGTGGCCCTTGCGACAAGGCTAAATAGAATGGAAAGCAAAACAAGTCCCACCATGTTCTTGAACACTGGTCACTTTTCACAATGAATGACAGCGACACCTACCAGCTCTTTCCACTGTGTCTCAGCTTCGTTTAAACATCGATGTCGTTCACCGCGTCGTTCGCGGCAGGTGCGTGCAGCCAACTTGTTCTTTCCTTTACAACAACACTTATGCAGTACACGTAGGATATTTTAATCATTTCCATCTACATCTCATGAAGACATTTAAAAAGTGTTGAGAAAACAACGCCCACCTCTCCTACGAATTTTGCGTATCAGTTGTTTTTGATGTTCGGTTAGATTTAAATTTTTGAGTACTTTATGTAGCTCTCCCAATGTCATTTCAGATATTTCTCGAGCCGACAATGGCAACCTATTGGCTGCAGCTAGCTGTTCGTCTTTGGATTGACGTCCTCGCTTTCGTGGTACTGCTGCCACACTGCAAAGATCATCAACGATACTGTCGTTATTAAACCTAGTAAAAATATCTATCGAATCTTAGTAAGGAAACAGGTGACTGACTTTATATCCATTAACAAAGCCGTCAGTTTGTCACTCCATAATATCATGTGAGCTATTACATAAAATTTGAAAGTCTAATGCGAATGAATCACGGATTAAACACAAACCCGCACGTGCTCGGATGTGCTACCACTTCATCAACTCCTCTCGGCGCCAGTTTTCCAAAATATCTAAAATAAGGGAAATTTGCCACATATAAAATCAACGACAACAATTCGGCTTATATTGTTAGGGAAACATAAAATGTGGATTCCAAAAATAACCTGCTCTTGTGCGCTTTGCAGTTCTCAGCTTCGATATGACGAGGCGACACTGTTGTAGATCCGGAAAACGAAGAACACACAGACGAGGATTCACTGTAAATTAAATCACCAGTGAAGAAAATTCACATCTTTATCCTAATTTGCACAAATTCGACGTCCACAATAACACAGTCTATCGTCGATAAGCTGTTAGAAATGTTAATTAACTAATGCAAAAACAAAGACCGATTCTCCCCAACAATATTAAAATTCCTTTATAATCTAAAGAAGTTTATTAAAAAAAAATAAACGGCACATCACCTTAGAATCCACACCATCACGGTTGCTGTCATTAAGACTTCTTACCACATAACCAACCTATCAGCCTCGATGCTCGATGCAGTCCTCCAGTTGAATATCGAGTGATCTGACCGACTGTTAATAAGTGTTCCACTTTTCTGCTATGTGAAAGAGGGACCAAGTGGGCTCCGTTCGCTCTAGTGACCCGCTCAATATATTTTCCTCTTAGGGCTTGCGTTAAGAGCTCCGATCATCGGGTCGGCGGTCTTCTTACACTACTTTTAACATCCGGAGGGATTCAGTTGCTTATAGCTCTTCTCCATCTGTTGCCGTTCATTTGCTTCACGTGCCCCGCCAACCTCATCTTGAACAACTTGGCGTATACAATGGCGTCCTGCATTTTTGGTCGTTGACGTAGACTGGAGCTTCGAATCACCTCCCTCACTTCCGCGATGCGAGATACTGTTAGAATCGTAATTTCCACTGTCCGTTCAATAACGACAAGTGGTCACTCACCCTGCTCACGAAACAACCAGCCTTCGGACGCACAAGTTAAGGAAGGAAGAATAGTGGAGTCGAAAAGGTAGCCGTGGAGACAGGCGTTTTTTGTTCACCTCACTATATCCTCAACGGTCTTGACAGCTCCCCGAGCAGCATTTTGACTTCCCAACTCAAACAGACGTAGCTCAAGAATTCAGAGATATTAGTACCGATTAGCGTAAATGAGGCATACAAAACCGATCCGTTCCTAAAGAACATCGTTTTGCGAAATTTAGACGAATATCAATGATCCCTCAGGCTTCATTGAAATCGACAAGCATTCGTTCTGCTTGGATAATGTTTGGTGTTATAAGAACGATGTCATCAGCAAAGCGAAGACGGTGTAATTGCCAACCGTCGATTTCCATCCCCATATTGTCCCATTCCAGCGTTCGCATGACCTTCTCGAGAGTGGTGTGGCGTTGGCAAATAATTTTAGCGAGATGGTAATATCTTGGTTGTGAAATTTTTATACTGCTCAGTAAGAATCTACTGAGTAAGGACTCCTTGACTGTCAAGGGCTTCCATGACTGCTTTTATCTCGATTGAGTCAAAGGCCTCTTCTTCAGATCGATGAAAATGAGACAGAGTGGTCTTTTGTACTCCCGCGATACTTCAATGAGCCGTGTTACCATGTAAATGTGATCCACCCTAATGAATCTTTTTCGCAATCCTCCTTGCTCACATGGCCGTCCTTCTTCCAGCGTTCTGTCAATCCTGTTTAGGACAACTCCAATGGAAAGTTTACAGACGACAGACAGTAAGCAGATTGGCCAACAGTGGCCGATATCGCGGAGGTCACCCTTCCTAAATAATGGCATGATCTTCCTGGTCTTCCTTTGAGTAGGAACCTTCCATTCAGACAGGTAACGTATGAACAGCCATCCAGTGTGCTTATCAGGACTGGCAGAAGGTTCTTCAAATGTTCAGATCTTATTCTATCCGGACCGGTCGTTCGATTCTTCATCGTTAAAGTAGTACATCGGATTTCTGGAGGAGGAACGGATGGGACTTTCTTACTTCATGTAAAGGCAGGAGGACGTAGCTATTGAAGAGATCCAAGTAGTAATTGTGAATGATCTCCATTGTCGTTTCTGAAACCTATAACTGTTCCGTCTGCGCGTCGTAGTGCAGGCGTCTTTGTTTTACAACTGGCGAAGTTTCGGTGGGCTTTGCAAATGCTCTTTTCATCCTCTACAGTTTCGACTATAGGTTGTTTTTTTGGTTTTAAGACCTTTTATCGTCTATCTACGCTGTTTTGCAAGGTAGTTCGTGCGATTCACGTTGACGTATCAGGTCTGAGTGCTACTGGAGGCAGACGTCTCTTGAAGACTCACGAAATATCAGCTTTCACAGCACTAACATGAAGATGTTAAATGAGCCGATTCTATTCCTCGTTGATGTTTTTAAAACAGCACCTTCCCAGTAGCCGACTAATGAAATGAATAAAAAACGAATAAATCCCAGTTTATGGTGGTTTTGGCACCTCATTTTTCGAATTCAGCGGCTCCTTCTCTTTTCCTCAATAAATGAAGTCTTGCATGAAGGTGGCTATGGTCTGATCCTGTGTAAAATTCTACGAGAACAGCGACATCGGTTAGATAAAACCATCGATTTACTATGATGCAGTTTGTTTCGTTATGATACAAGGGCAGCTTTTGGTCCGCTATTAATCAACGCTCTATCCACCCGCTACCCAGAGACGCGCCACGTTGGCGTGTGACTAACCGACATGTGAGCCCTGAGGAAGATCCGTGGGCTCGATATATATATATATATACATATATATACATATATATGTATATATGTGTATATATAATGTATAGATACATGCATACGTACATGTATATATTTAACTATGCATATATATATATATATGTATATATATAAAAAGCCAACAAAGCTCTCAGCACTGATCAATCCCCACGCATTCGACTTCATCAAATATCGTTGGAGATGATTAAATGCATATCTGGCCTTTACAATGACTCGCAGTGCCCTAGGGCCATAGGCGCAGGGATCGATTCCACGTGAGTCGCGGTGGCGCCTCCAACCACTGCGCCATACGCATCATATATATATATATACATATATATATGCATATGTATACATGTATATGTATCATACATATAGATATCTATACATATATATATACACATATATATACATATATATACATATATATATACATATATATATACATATATATACATATGTATCTACAGCATATGTACATATAATCCACCAGATTTTCAAGATGAAAGTATCTTTTTCAGAGGTCTAAACTGAGAATTTCAGTTTCTTGTTGTTTGTGCAACCAAGTGGATTATCACAACCACCTTTTCAGCTAAGACTATCGACACCAATTTGCACTTCAACAATGAGCAAACAATGGGAGTACGAAGCATATCACAAGATATTGGATGGCGCTCAAGACGCATTTCGACTAGAATTCTAATAAGTGGACCATAGACGAATAGTAGCTCTAACCGCAGATGTCTATAAGAAGTTAAAACTACCTCTACACTTACATCTGTCAACAATAAAAAAATGTTCCGTGAGGCAGACACAAACGCCATGCTAAAATTTCGTAAGCCCAGAAAGTAACCCCTTCTTAATGAGACATACGACCAAGAACTATGGATGCTGCAACAGAACAGCACCTTTTATCAATTTCAATGCCAAAAGAGGCCCAGAAGATTACGCTGTCTTGCCAACGCTTTTCACCCCATTATGTAATAGTTAATGAAGTGGCATGAAACGTGGCCTGATTATACCATAATTTTGAAAAGCAGAGGTGAAATGTGTACACTTATCTAGCTGGATAAAAATTATGGGTGTAATGATTCATGTTACCGTACGACACTTGCATATGCCTGACTCCCCAGCGTTGACAAATGTCGCGAGGTAACCACCACAATAAGGAACAATACTCTTTAAACAGTTTTGCCAAGCATCCACGTACGTAAACAAATTCCAAAACCATAACAGTAAATGTTAACAGGACATCCTAAGAAATCTCATACTTACCTACTGAACGAAGCTGTCCTCGCTGAGTAATATGGATCAAATATGGGCTGTAATAGGTCTGCTGGGTTCTGAAACGTTTGGTACAACCTTCTCCACAACAGCCAATTTTTAATCATTACTCACTTGTATTTAATGAGACCTCGTCGTTAATCTATTAAGAGGCCACACTAGACTAGGCGCCTTATGTCAAATAATGTCCTCGAAACAATGCTAGACGTATACGAAATACTTCAAGATGCTTTTTTGGTTCCAAATTTGTTTAAACATAAGTACCAAAAAAATTGAGCGGAAATTAGATTTTTGGAGTAAGCATAACAGCTGCAAAGATGAGTGATCCATCGGCGTACAGGATCATATTCTATCAGGTGAAACCCCGCATGTTAAAGAACTTTGCGCCTTGATTGCAGACAATCAATCATAGTTTCCACAATGATGCTGAGATATTTGCAAAACACCGGACCGCAGCTGTCTGCAGTGGGAAACAAACGCGCTACTACCCTTTCCACGAGCTACTTCGCCCGTCTCTCAGTTAGTTTTATCTATCAGTGCCATCAGCAATCACCATCATGGTGTGGTGGTGAATGCGTTTGCCTCCGGAAAGGGTAAAAGCGCGTTCGTTACCCACCGCAGACACCTGCAGTCCGGAGTTTTGCAAATATCTCAGCATCATTGTAGTTGTATCACACAGAACACCCTGAAGTGAAAAATTGTAATAGTCAGTAAATAAAAAGTTAACAAATTGTAATTTCATTCTTGAGTAAAAGAGTTTATGCTTTGTTGGGAAACATCTGCAGACTTTACTTATTTCCACTACAAGTAAAAAGGTTCACATTGAGATCTGTTCGTTTGACGATGAAAGACAATTACTTTCGACTGCCTATGCACTGAAATCAACGCAATTGATTACAAATGTGTCAAATCGTATTGGCTTAAAATGATTAGAAAAAACTAGATGCTAAAGGAGCTCTCGATACCTCATCTCGATGTTCTCGGTAAGGACCGACATAATACTGATGGTCATATTGGCTTCCTGTAGAGATCACTTGTTCTTCCGTATCGTTTTGAAACGTCATGAAACCGTTGTTTGGATATACTAAAAATAAAGCAGTCGATTACCTACGGAACTAACGGAATTCCATTTTCATGACATCGATGTATTGGATAAACCAACTCGGTGAAAAATTGCAGTTATTTCCTGTGATAGCATCCAGTATTTGCCTGGGAAATAATAACTTTCAAAACTTCGCATTACCATGGAAAATGGATCACCAGTGAAACTTAGTCTGAATTTGGAGTTTCGTTTGGTCCGATGTCATGCAATGTTTAAAGAATATTTAACGAATTTCCATCGTATATGAATTCTCCTTGAAATGCCATTGTTTAAAAAAAAAGGCGGTAAATCCTTTTAAACAGACAACTATTTAATTTGTTCTACAAATTAGGTTTTTGCTACAACTAAAGGATGTCCACGAAATTGTGGTAATACAACACCACGTCTAGACGTCGAAACAGGCGAAAGCACCGAAACGTTAGCCCTCGAATCTCAAGAACAAGTAATAATAACCTCGTGTTAGCTCAAAAGTATTCGTAAGATGATATAACTTAATTAGCGATCAAATTAATCGAGATGCTTCAGCCATCAGATTTGCTTAAAGAATAACTCTAGTATTTGATTACGCTGTCAATAGTTAAAATTGTTGAAGCGACTGAACTACCAGTTCAAACCTTACAACAGAAGGTAAACTGATATATAAGAGATCTGTAACGAAATATCGTGGATATAGTGTCACTACCACGTATACTAAATTATAGATTAGGGATCGATAAATGCAGAAAATAATGAATGTAACAAGGAATTTTCAAACAGCTTTTAACTACTCACTATCACTTGGAGCCACTTCAGCTTGCTGCATCCAGAAACTGGGAGCCGATGTTTCATTATAGAGAGTAGTTGGTGCTGATGGAGATAATACCGCATCTATCGCGATTTGTTGTTGTTGTTGCATTAACGACATTTCGGAGACTAAAACATACCACTATAACACCACAAAAATCCAATTTTGTAATAATCTCTCGACGACAAGCTAAAAACCAACGTCGTTTACTCTTTCGCAAACGGTTTTTAATGTGTTTACGAGGTTATAAATAGATCCATTAGGTTGTTAACAAATAAATGAGCGTTCTTAACTATATTATTTAAGAATTCGTCGTTTTCTCTCGCAACAATGGCGAGATTGTTAAACAGTATACGTTTACTTCCATATAATAACACACATACAACACAACCGTAGCTGACGTTTCGGCAAAATCGCCTTCTTCAGAGCCTGGAAGGGTACACTAATACGCAACTTACTAGGTCAAGCGTTTCGTGGTAACGCCACGAGATAAGCTCCGAAGGAGAGCGACGCCCCAAAACGAACGGCTTAGCCCAAACAAAATCCCGTCCATCTTGCTCTTTATTAGCGATGATAAGTGTAGCGATAAAACGACGCTTAAGAAGGGCAGATTTAGAGGAATCGGTAGCGATAACTGAAATACCACCAGATACTCTTTGTCGTCAGTTAGTTCGTAACCGCCTGTATGACCGTCTATGTGAAACAACAAATTGCGTATTTTGTCCTTATGGCAGAGACGGTGATTGCATGAGTTCAGGTACGATATACCTGATCTCTTGTAACAATTGCGGAGATGAATATATTGGCGAAACGAGCAGACCTTTGTGTATCCGTATAAAAAAACACTTAGATGGCAAACGAAAACTAAAACGAAGCACCCCACTAGGCACGCATAGGATACAAAAACACAGCGGAGACGATTTTGAAGTAAAAGTCAATATCCTTGCACAGGAGTCCAAAACACCAGCACGAAAACTTCTTGAGACTTTTTGGATAAATGCCAAAAACCCTACAATGAATAGCAGGGATGAATGCCCTGAGATAAAGCGTGATCTAGCTCCGCATCTCAGAGCTGTTTTTTGATGTGGGGTGGTGCAGCAATCAACCATATGCGGCTCTAAGCGGCTGTTCTTCCCCGGTGGAAAACAGGTAAAAATGGTGAGTTTTTCGAGAAGCCGGTGATCGTGTAATGATTGTTCAGATTTCCACCTTTCTGCTTGCGTTGTTGAAGCGTTCGACCTAGTAAGTTGCGTATTAGTGTACCCTTCCAGGCTCTGAAGAAAGCGATTCTGCCGGAACGTCAACTACAGCTATATTGTATGTGTGTTATTGCATGGAAGTAAACGTATACTGTTTAACAACTTTGCGATTGCTGAGATAAAAAAACGAATTCATAATCGTCATAATGCCGAGGTTAGTGGAAAGTCGATACTGGGTACTATATTATTTAAATGTTAACTTTATATTTACTGCCTATTACAATGCTTCATGGCAGGGTATTACGCGTGACACAACCACATTAATGCTGAGATATTTGCAAAATTTCGGACCGCAGATGTCTGCGGTGGGGAACGAACTCGATTTTACCCTTTCCGGGGAGTAGCGCGTTCACCACCACACCATGCGGGTCCTTCGTTTCGCCTGTCTCTCAGCTAGTTCTATATTATTTAAAATGTCACAACTGGCTTCAAACAAAACTGCATTAATCAAAGCAAAAACCACTTGTATCTACGCGTTTTTGCCAATGAAAAACAAGTTTGTTTATTTCAGTTGTATAAAATTCTGAGTTCTGGAAGCGATGAATTCGCTGAAGGCATTTTTTGCGTCATCGTGGTTGGTTAAGCATTTCTCGTGCAGGAAGTTGTCAACGTGCTTGAAGAAGTGATAGTCGGTAGGCGAGAGGTCTGGTGAATATAGTGGATCAGACAAATTTTCGTAGCCCAACCCATTGCACTTCTACAGAGCTGGTTCCGCAACGCGAGGTCGGGTGTTTTCGTGGATTGGTTCTTTTCTGTTAATTAATGCCGGTCATTGTTGTTGGAGTTTACGGTGCATTTCGCCGATTTTTTTGCAAAACTTTTCTGCAGTAATCGTTTCGCCCGGATCCATAAAACTGTGATGAATAGGCCCGGCTGCAGACCACCAAGCAGTCACCGTGACCTTTTTTGGTGCAATTTCGGGTTTCGGAAGTGGTGTGGGGCCTGATCGCAATCCACCGTTGAACTGAACGCCGCCGGTTGTCCTACAGAACCCATTTCTCGTTGCAATTTTTTTGATTATAGCTTAATTCGTACGGCACCCACTTGTCGAGTTTTTTTGTTTTTCCTTTGCGGTTCAAGTGAGTGGAAATTCTTTCTGTGCTTACGCCAAGCTGTTCTACAAGCTCTCCAACAGTTCTTCCGTGTTTGTTTGCATCTACTAGTGCATTTAATTCATCGTCATCAAGTTCACTGGGACGTCCACGGCCTTCCTTACCTTCGAGGTCGAAATCACCTGATCGGAATTTCCGCAACCATGTTCGCACTGTTGATTCACCAATATTACCTTCACTCCAAACTACACTAATGTTTCGAGTAGCCTCTGCTGCACTACGACCGAGTTTAAACCCATAAAAGAAAATTTGACCAAAAATCGTTTTTGACATCCAAAATTGCAAAGCTCGAAATTGCTAAAAGACTTAATTTTTGACAAAATATAAAGGCATGTTTAGAAAGAGCATAAAATCAGCTTTTTAATTATATATATTATTGCAAGGTATTGAAACTATTTTGTTGGTAAAAACACATTAAAACAATAAATACTTTAAAACGCTCATTTATTTTTGAATAGTCTAACAAAAGACATTGTCCTTAAAAATACGCATACTAGTCTACTTTAATGACGCTTCAAGACGATATGAAAATTAGGAGCTGTCACGTGTGTTGAATATTTCTTACCATTTTGTGCAGTAAAGACGATTCCTTCGGACAGACTAACGTTATTTACCACAGGTAACGTATCAAAATCGTATGCACATGAATGAGGGTCAGAACAAGCCAGTCGATTTAGTTCTCCATCCTCTTTTGAAACATCGGCGAGAAGTTCAGCGAGATCTTCCTAAAACCGTAATATAAATTGGAAATTAAGAGATTGCAAAAATCTACAACAATTCCACTAACGTCTGTCGGCGTAGAAACCTGGCGCTTTTCGACAGGTCCGTCTTCCAACTGAAATGACTCCGAACGTAAAGCGGTCTGGGGATAACCCTTCACCCCAGATCGAAACAAGTGCGGTGCGACGCAAAAATCTTCAAAGTAGACTTTGGAGAGATCCTCAAAACGAAATGACTCTTCGGGCGATAGATGCTGAAATTAAGAATTGTATTTCTAGAATTCCTGGAGCCCAAGAAACATTTCTGCTTTGACTTTTCTTTGGTCACGGCTCATATTTCGAATACAAAAGCGATTTTAGAGCCGGGATTTCCTTACACCAAGGCACCACTGACGCCTGCAGACCCCAAGCTTGCATAAAAACTTAAAGATGATAACTTCGTCCTCGATTTTTTATAGTATAGTACGATCATCTATAGCCTAGACAGCTCAAATCAAACATACAAACTTATCGACAGCTAACAGAAACCAAATGTTTGCGAATGTGCTGACATCTAATTTTCAGAAACACCGTGTGATGTGTATTTCGTTTGAAATAAAGAAAGTATTTCTAAGTGTACGATCTATAAAAATCACCACACTTTTGCATTTAGTTAAAATTAACAATTTCTTCTTCCTAACAGCAGTTCTTCCAGAAAAATAATCAGACCTCTGCGAAAAAACATTTCTGTTATACAAAGTGATAATAGCTGAATAACCACTGTTTTTTTAACATTACTGTTTTCTTAACCCTTTTATTTACTGCCTTTTTCTTCTTAATGGCAGGGTATGTTGCGAAATATAACTCGTATGAAATTCTGAGATATTTGCAAAACCGCGGACCACAGGTGTACGCAGTGGGGAACGAACACGCGCTGTTGTCCTTACCGGAGAGCAGCGCACTTCACCATCCGGGTCCTTCGTCTTGCCTGTCTCCCAGCTAGTTCTTAAGAAGAAAAAGGCAGTAAATAAAAGGGCTAAGATTGTGATTATAATTAAGCCTCAGCTTAACTGGGTTCAATGCCGATTTGGGCTCCCCAGATCAATCCCGTTAACAGGTGATTTCTGATGGCAAAAAAGATCGATAGAACTAGCTGAGAGACATGCTTAGCGAAGGACCCGGATGGTGTAGTGGTGAAGTGCGCTGCTCCCCGGTAAGGACAACAGCGCGTGTTCGTTCCCCACCGCATACACCTGTGGTCCAGAGTTTTGCAAATATCTCAGCATTTCATAAGAGTTATATTTCGCAACATACCCTGCCATTAAGAAAAAGGCAATAAATAAAAGGGTTAAGATTACTGTTTTCCACAAGCTATTGAACGTGTTGATTTCAATACACATTTGGTCAATTATTTGTTCAAGAAACGACTTTCATTTAACCTTGTTATGAACAGACAATATCTTGCGCTGAGATTTAAGCTATAGCAAAATTTCTAGTTACAAGCTCGTGCACTCCTCTGATCGAAACAAGACCTAGGAGGATGACGTTTGACTTGTTAAATTACAACGTCCTCAACAGATGACCAACCAATGTTTAACTGACTAGACAGATCATCGAGACTTCAATAGTGAAACACGATCACGGAAACTATAAACATTTCTCTGATGCGATGAATTCAACAAAATGACTGTTGCCGTTCTTCTGTTAGCTCTGTTCGCCACACTCCACAATCCAATTACCAGTGTCGTTATTCCACCACAGATTCGTCCAAAATTCAATTCAACCCCTGGGAAACGTGCTGCTAATCTTGACTACAACATTCGGCTCCTAACAGTGCTTTCACTTCAGCAAAATGTAAATCATTACACTTATTCATTAACACATTAAGAACGTTATACGTTTTTGATGACCACCGGTCATCTTTTGACAACTACAGTACTCCATAACTTCGCAGATATTTATAGCCTGTAAATCTAAAATATCCTAACTTTTTAGAAAAAAAAGGTTTAGAAAGGTGGCGCAGTGGTTAATACAGTACGTCGAGAAGCCAGGTCCTGGTTCGACTTCTTACCCAACGCTTCCCATGAATCTATGTGGAAACCTCATAGCTTGGCCAACTCCAAGACTGCACGGAGAATCGGCTCGACCAGCATCCTACGACATTTATAAAAGATGAGAGCTCCTCAAATAGCAACCAAAACAACATGCGAAGTGTTCCAAGACCTCTGCGGACGATACATGAGAGAATCGCACAGCAGATGTTATGATGGATCAGTAAGATATGTATAGTGTAAGAAAAAATTCTAAATACTATTTTTACTATCTTAACTCTTTTATTTACTGCCTTTTTATTCTTAATGGCAGGTTATGTTGCGAAATATAACTCGTATGAAATGCTGAGATATTTGCAAAACTCCGGACCACAGGTGTATGCAATGGAGAACGAACACGCGCTGTTGTCCTTACCGGTAAGGACAACAGCGCGTGTTCGTTCTCCATTGCATACACCTGTGGTCCGGAGTTTTGCAAATATCTCAGCATCATTGAAAGCTATTTTAACTATTAAATTCCTTCCTTCAAGTTCGTTAGAACATTATTTAGAAGATTAAAAACCATTATCACGAAGGCAGCAACACCCAACATCGATGACTCATCCGATGACACCACCACGTTCTACTCGACGTTCTGATTTTGCTTAATCACTTCATCCATCGAAACAGAAGCATCCAAAACGCAAAACACAAATAAACAAATAGAAAGGTCCTAGTTTCCGAAAGCGTGGGATTCTATTGTGACGGAGTAACTGAACTTGTTAGTAAATACAAGTAGTTTCCTATGATTTTTACATTAGTTATTTAAATTACAACGATCAGAATACATGTTTCGAGTACGCATCACTCAAGTCCGCGGATTTCGTAGACAAATCGTTTGCTGTGAAGTTCACATTGACTCACGATACAAATTGTTTCACATTGTAATTATTTGCATCTCTCTATTTTTCCGATGAAGAAACATTTACAGGGATGGCATCTTTACGATGAATACTGGTACCGACTCTTCGAAGTCGATCTTATGTGGATCCCAGCCGAGAATTTCTGCCGTTCTATGGGTGGTCACCTCGTCAGTATCAAAGATGAAGCAGAAAACGATTTCGTAAACGCGATTCGAAAAAGTACGTGGTTGAATACTCAAAAAAAAAAAGCTTGAGAAATGATAAGTCCGCATGAAGAACTCATGAGGCGCAAAAAGCAAAAAAGCGTGGCAGTCTTCCTCAACTGTACTGAATTATGTGGCCGCTGACAAAACACTGATGAAAGTTAATAAAGTACTAGTTTATAAAGGATATTCCTCAATATATTACTATAGGAAGATGCCACTATTGCTGTTGCTACAAATTTTTAAATCTATGCAAAAACGAGCACTAAACTCCACTTGCCATGGAAACAAAATATTCCATGTTTTCATTGCTTCAAGATTTTACACTTGATAACAGAGAGCAACATTTGGATTGGGCTGAACAAGATCGACGACCCTCAACAAATCTACAAGTGGAGTGATGGTAGTGCGGCGGACTTCCTCAACTGGGATTCTACTCAGCCCAATGAACCTAAGGTATTAAAATTAATTACTTAATACCAATTTCTTGGCTAATTAAATAACTGGACTACGTCCTCCACAACAAACTGTTAAAGCATATAAAACTTAACACAGGATTACTAGCAAATTGTTCTAACACGTATAACATATCGTATCATTGTGAAAAGAATACAAGAAGAACTAATTGTACGGATTTATCTCCTCTACAATTAATTAAACTCTTCCTTTTTCCAATCTAGAGGTTGCAACCAAGAATGAAAACGAATTCCTAGTTGTATTGTAAACAACTCGATTACTTTATGTTTGTCGCTTTGCGGATGGACTTCTAGAACAGCAGCGATTCCTAACAATGCTATACTATAATCAGGACTTCCGGAAGGAAATGTTCATCTTAGATGGGTTCACCTTGTCTGTGTTTGGACGCGATATATTATGCACGAGAGTTGACAAAACTTTGATTAATTCCTCGTCACAGTTACGCCATGAAACATTGGGGACATATTTTAACACACTAAATTTCGAAGTAAACCTTTTACGTTTAAATAAGAGCACTGATCGAAAAGAGCTTTCAACTAAGCACACTCATTGGTTATCTACCCTGGAGCCGTTTTCAAACAAACAACACAGGACACTGCTTGCTATTTGAATCCAGAAGCTGTTACAATGTAAACTATACCATGCGAGGATCTGTGCCACTTTCATGGTGCAAATCCATTCCTCTTCTTATTGTTCAAGATCTGGAAAAATTTTCACAGTTCAGACCTCTGCAATGACATACTCAGAAGTACCATCAAGAAAATAAAAAGGCATCGTACGCTTTGAACCACATTAATGGTAACAACGATGCATGTGGAAATCGGATTCGTTGAAGTGTGGACAAAAGCGACAATGTACAGTGTTCTCTATCTTGAAGAAAACTCTTTAAATGAGTCCAGTTATACTTTTTATACTAACTAAAATCATTGAGTACACTTATTAGAAACGGTCATTCTGGTTAAATCTAAAGACTTCCGAGCAATCTTCCTTGTCCAAGTTTTAGTCCTAATTTCGCATCAAACTAATGGAAGCGACACCTCCAATTTTTTCAGATTTAAAATCCTTCAAGTACTAATAACTAATTATTACCTGTTCCAATGACCTGAAAAGTCTCAAATCATGCGAAATATTCGATCAGGTTCTTCTCATAACGAATTAAACTTAAACAGTGACTAATCGAAGAATTATAAATTTTCAAACACGCTAAATTCCAGGTAGACTGTGCCTACATGGCATACCACCAAGAGCATCGTGGAACCTGGTTCGACTACGGCTGTCATGAAATGCTTCCGCAGTACTTCGTTTGCAAACTACCCACACCATGAAAATCAACTACGGTGAACTCTACATATAAGTATGGGAAACGTCTGAAGTGACCACAATAAACATTGGGAACAATTTTTCACATAATTAGTCAGCTGACTGTCATCCACCTACTTATTGCAAATGTAGCGCAAGTAGAAGAGAAAACAGATATTAATAAGAAGCTTTTCCGGTACTCAGAATTTCATTTCGATTAACACTTCCTTCTAGAAAAGTCATGAAGGGCATAATTTATTGACACTGATAGGATTTCTATCACATGTCGAACATGAACCTGCGTACCGAATAGAGACTCTTCTCGGTGAGTAACTGCAAATCGCGTTCGTATTGCTCGGCAGGCTCCACATGTCGAGCACCTTTTTCAGCTGCGATATCACTTCGCCAAAGAACGTCAATTAGCTCAATGTCCTGTGAAAAAAAATAAAATATATGATTGAAAAATCTTGCAATTTTGGTCAGAACAGTAAGTTTTCGAAAAATTTTACAATCTCAAAGACACGTGCAAAATGGCTGCCTCATTTCTATTCTAGACTAACAATAATCCCAGAAGAAAATACAGAACTATGATATCCCTATTAGGATCTCGAATCCCACGGATGGTAGAGGGCTAACAATACTTAAATTTGATCACGTTCTTTGGGGGTGTTGCAAGTGACATTTTTCACCTCTAATGAAGGATCATCATGATTCTGTGCTGAAAATGACGTAGAGGTAGTTGGTAGTAGTTGTCCAGAAATATGGACGGGATGGGTACGCTGTCTTTCTGTCATTAATGGCATTATTGTAATCTGAAAAGTAAGTAGGTTTGTTAACTGCAAATAATAAGGACACCCTAAAGCACATAGTTTTCTAAAATTAAGTATCAACACAGCAAAAGAATTTTAGCCGATTCAACTACCAACAAGTGACTTCATTTTAACATCTAAATAAAACATTACAAGGCACCTTTAGCCACTGCACTACGCGCGCATAAAACCACTTCGATATACAAGCTATTACCGAAGAGTTACTTTTTGACTATTAAATATGCCACTAAATGTTCATTTAAATTTATATATAAGTCCAAATCGGAAATAACTGTTTAAGATCCTAAAGATTGCTAGATGACTAGTTTCTTAAACACAGGTACTTGAGTGCTTAGGACTTGTACAAAACAGAAACACCTTTTTCCTTTGAAATACCAATCGACTAAAAAATGTGTGTAAAAAGGCCCTCTCATAAAAACATAACTTTTACCTGATATACTTGCCCATTCAGAAAGCATTACCGGAAAGAATGATAGGGAAGAGGCCACCACTACATGACCGTGTTCTATACTGAATCGAAGACTACATGCGCAGTACCAGAGCTGAGGCATACGGAAATACGTCAGCTTGGGTTGAGTTGAAGAAGGATACCAGACTCTTTTCCATTCTCCCTGTCGGCCGATAAACATTCTGTCGCACATCACGTTTCGATAAAGAACTTACGATAAGGAAGGTTCTTATTACTCTCCTTCATCTTTTTTTATGGAATTATAAAACGACATCTGGTAATGAATTTTCATAAGGCGTACTAGAAAACAAATCATACAGAGCCAGATGTTTTCACTATAGATTATCAAAAATATCTGTTCCGTGTACAGCTAATACATTAAACCATTTCGATTATCCGAAAATGATAAGAGCTAATTAACAACCGTACTAGGCTTCTACACCTGGAAAATTTCTCTTCGCACTCCTATTATTACAAAAACACAGAAAGGAGGCGCAGAACAAGTTCAAATTTAATTTTTCTTGCATATATTTTTAATCCTACAAAAAGTGTTAGGTAGAGTGGTTCTAGAAGGACAACAAATGAAGTACTATCCGCTGGCATTGAAATGAAGATGAAGTCCATGCTCTTACAACCATAACATTCTTTTTTCTCCTTTCTTTTGAAATTTTATACGAAAGAGAGCTTTTTTACAACTTTTATTACAGTTCATGACGATAACTTTACATAAAGCCTTACCTCTCTCATTTCCATGCGCTGCGTGTAGTTGTAGGCTATACGAGCTAGGGTCGCTTCATCTCTCCATCTGCAGTATATGTAATTATTTTTAAAACAAGCTTTATCGACCATAATAAAGAAACCCCTTAACCTTGAGTATATTTACCATTAGAAAATGCTAAAGCAAACTAAACAACATTAGCCTCGAACCACGCTAAAAGCTACACTTTTAAAAAAGAAAAACCAGTTAAATAAGAAAAAAATCGATTAATAGACCTTACTCAACAAAACGAGAGGAATAACAGTGATATACCTTATTCCAATCGGCCGCATCTTGAAAGAGTAAGCTGCCTCCGAATCAGTAATGCGATCGTACATCATCAAAGGGATATCTGTAAGAAAGTTCAAGATCAAAAACTGATTTTTTTTTCTTGGAAAATGTCCCGATCACAACCTATATCTCTGCTATCAATTGTTATCAGACAACAGTCTGAGACAATAAAACTGCGATTATGAAACTTAAAAAGTTCTACGCTTTCTAGTGGCAAAGAACACAACTTACTTATACACGACATACTTGTATATAAAATGGACATTTCTAATGTGCACTTTTAGAACAAGTGCAACACTTCTTAAAACATAGATGACAAGATCCGCCTGAGACGCGCAAAACCAGCAAACGGGACACATAATGCACCTATATTTCGGTCAGTGAAATTTGTTTTGATTAATTAAAACTTAACACTTGATGCAGCGAAGAGTATTGCCAGGTTGACCTCGAGACCGCAGGAACCACAGTGGCTAAACCAATAAAACTCCGAAAAAATGGAGATTATGCCGGGACCCGCACACCCAGCGAGGATGGGCTATCAAAGTATCAAAGCAAGGTAATATTTGATACAGCGTAGAAATTGGCAAAACATGATGACAGAAATCGGTGATCTAAATTGAAACAGAGGAAACCTATGAATTATTTGCCCACCGTAGTTCTTGACAGACACTGGTGCTAGAACCAATGATGAGGCGAATGCAAGTGTCCAAAATGACGGGAACTGCAAACAAAACCATAAGGTATTTACAGTGGTGGATTCCGTCTACATTGGATAATAATCAGATATTTATAACAAAACACTTTATAAGTCAAAGGAAATTAAGTGATTTTTTAATGATGATACACATAAGAGAGCAAACTGCTGTTCCTGCATTGCAGAAAGTAAATAACCAATCAGCAGAAAAAACCTGTGGAACACCCTACTGTTTTCCTACAGTGTACAGATACTGGTCTACACAAAAGCACCCTGCTGAAGTATCCTCAACTGCTCAAAATGGGAAAATCCGCTCATAAAATCCAGGTTGTTCTACACGAGCCAACTTCGACTATACTACTATGCGGAGCCCAGGATTTCTTGCATTCGAATTGCTTCCAAGCACGTATCGTCCACATAAGTCTTCGGATTTGACTGGGTGTCTAACTGCCGCTTGACAATTTTCTACCATATTTATGAATGTCAATGAACGTTGGTCGACTAATTCACTCTGAAATCCTCTAGTGACCGTGCTAATAACTATGGAAAGTGGACGAAAAGTGGTTGCTTATTTCTCGTAACAGTATACTCTTAGAAAATGTTCATCTCATGAACACTTGCGAAAGCCGTAGGCTAACAAGCAAATTACTGAGAGGCACACTGAATTGTGAATAACTTAACAAATTCACCTCCGTGCCACTATGCAAGTATAAGGGTTAAAATGCTCGTACCTTGAAACTTTAAGCAAATACCTTTTTCATAATGAATCTTACTAGTTAAAATAGCGATTGGTAGAATTTAGATATTATTGCCAATAGGTTGTAAAATGATTCCTAGAATTTACGAACCTTTGCCAACATGACAAAATTTCTCCGCTTCTAAATTTCTCATTATTTGGATGTCATGAAACTTTTTCATCCGCTTCACCTCGTCGGAACTTTCAATCAGAACAGTAAAGTAGCAAAATAACTGGAATTTAGAATCTTGCCCAACAAGACATTTTCGCCTCCTCTAATGTTTGCGGCTTCGATGTTTAGGTTAAAAAATTAAAATGAACTTCAAAGTTTTTGAAGCCTTAATTGCAAACGATTCAAAATTAAAGTGACTTCTACAAAATCCGGACACTCTTCGATCCACCTTCAAACGATGATCTCTCAAATGCGTTGTTACTATGAGCGTTTGTCGGCATCGCAACGAAAAAATTTCAGTCCTATTCAATCTAATTACTAGCAAATCGTGCGCCATTTCAAACAACTTGTACGTGAAGCCACCGTCTGCGAACACCTTTTTTTTTTCTCAGGCCCAGCACCAGTTTATCCCTGCACGGTATGACCTCACTCCGCCGTTCACATTAGCCCACGTGTGACCGGCCAGATCTGTTACACTATCATCCACTTCCTTCCTACGCATTCCCACACATTTCTGACGCTTCTTCCACGTATTCTCTTCACTTAATTCACCTTTCTCTTAACATCTGTATCTATGCAGTAAGGCTCGGCAATCATAACTCCCGTTCTTCGATTTTTAAATCTGAACTAGAACAAAGGTATATTCTGTCAAGAGGCACAGACCCGGTTGGTAATGCAATTATTCATAGTTTATAGAACACGGTTGAGAAAGGGTTCAACAAATACCAGAAACAACAGAAGGGTTAGCGATGAAATACCGATCAATAATTACGGATGATCAGAAGAATGATGTACTACATTTCAAAACTTTTCAATAAAAATGCATAAGTTGTTAGGTTAGTGTCTATACACTTGTTGTTTGTATGACTAAACGAAAACTGAACTTATCACTACTACTTCGAATTAAAGCAATGTACAAATACATAAACGGGCTCCATTTCTAAACAAATCAAAGACGTTAATAGAACTGTGGCAACCCTTAGCGTCGATTACATTTTTGGAGAGCTACTAACAGCAAAGTGGAGTATGCAGAACAGTTGTCAGCGCTCTGCAATACATACTTAGACGTTAGTTCGATCCCACGCATTGGGTCAACTAAGCTGCCAATCCTTCGGAGTCGGTTAATTTGTACTAGACTTCTCTGGGAGAGCAAAAACACTGACTTGCGTATAGAACAAACATGCCTTCAACCACCTAGTTACCTCTAAAGTAGTTCATGAAGCCGAATGGATAGGGCATCAGGGACAGATCGATGCCAAACCCCTCCTGACACCTGAGTCATACATGACTACAATCATAGCCTCAATGCCGCTCCTCTCGACAGCGAACACATCAAGTACATCACTCTTCATTAGCAAGTTTTCTGGGTTATTGCACCCAAAGAACAAGCAATAACTCGCCACGGGATTCATAGAGATGAGCAAATTCATTTCACGAATCTCCTTAAAAAATAACATCGGAAAAAAACGACGTGTAGAAAAAAATTTCTTTCGGCTGAATCTGGGACAATGATGAAGGGAAGCTATAATCCGGTACAAAAACTATTGCAGAAGATGATTACGGGGGAAAGAAATGTGACCATAGCTGACTCAAATCGGATAAAACTCCCATATATATAAAACAAACCACCAAGACACACAGTGAAGAGATGCGTAATGTATTCCCGATTGTAAGTCTATACATTGATTCAACGCATACGTGACGAAAGGCACACTGGACGATGTGCGTTGATTTCAATGCGCTGCATTTCCAGCTGTTCATCTTGCTACATACTTTTTTCTCACAAGTTTTGTGTTCAATCAATAGTCTGCCCATGGCAGATGTACTAGACCTGGCTGGTTCGAGAGAAACTGTTTCCTACACATCAAAATTTACACAAACCGTTTTTTGTAGGAGTTTGCTCGTCAAACGGCAAGTCCCTTGCTCGCTGAGAAGGTATACCTCCTACCAAACAGCCTGCAGCTGGTGGGGAGCGTACTATGATAGCTAATCAGTGTTTCCATCGAATGTACTTTGAGAACGGTGTAGTCTCTCGATTGCAGCGTGCTCAGATATGGGTGGAAATAAGTGACGCAATAAAATGTCGAAAAATATATATATATATATATATATATATTGTGCAACAAACTCGAAAAGCGACATACTGTGGATGGATGCTGGATGACTTTATCGTCGCACACTAGAATTGGGAATGTTCCAGAAAGAAGGGATGATACATAGAAAAGAAAAGGTACCTAGCACATTTTTTTAAAAAACAGGGAGTTTTAAAGATGCACGAAAAAACCGGTTTATCCAGAAAAATGAAGATGGGGTGCCCAATTGAGGAGGGGATGCAGTACATCTCACGCGTTGAGTTCAATACAAACCACGCATAACGAAAAACCAGGCGCACTTCCACGAGGTCCCCGTTCAAAATTAGGTGTATTCGCAGACGATGTGATGTGATAAGATGATAGATCTGATAGGAACAATTCCGGGTGCTTCCGTAAGTGCTATGAAATGCACAAAAAGTCTCATCTAAAGCACTGTATCAAGTCAGTGACAGTAATAAAGTATATCCTAGGGAATATGCATAAATAAGAGTTCTTCGAAAAGTAGATAGAAAGTAAATATTCAACAAACGTTAACCTCAACACTACCAAAACAAGGAGCACCCTACACGATCTAAAATGAATACAAAAATTAAATACGTCGACGTTTTGAGAGCGCTGAGAATATGCTCTCTCTGTAGAGCTCCAATACAACCCTTTTTTACTTAATACAGTTTTATAGCCTAATGTACTGTTAGTAAGCGATTTATACACAAACTATGCTCGTTTTGCCCGATGTATTCAACGAAAGTTCAACTAACGAAAAGTTCCTACTTTAAGGTAAACCGTTGGGAATGGTATGCCACCAGTTTCGAGTGAGAATACGACGAACACGGAGAAAAATCGTTCAGCGCACATTGTGAAATACGTAATCAACCCAACCCAACCCAACCCAACCCAACCCAACCCAACCCAACCCAACCCAACCCAACCCAACCCAACCCAACCCAACCCAACCCAACCCAACCCAACCCAACCCAACCCAACCCAACC